GTACAAAGTTTAATTAAGTACTTAACGGTAATAATCGGTAATAACTATCATCTTAGTAATTACTTATTAATCGATCGATAATAATTATTACCAGTGGTATTACTCAGTAATAACACCGGTAATTACGTTGTACCTTCAATCTTACCCAAAGAAATGAAAAATGTATTTGCTTCCTATGTATTTCAAATGTAAAAATCCCAACGGTCGAACATAGCAATTTCCGAACGAACGAACGAACACAATTTTTTTTTCATAAATTTCGAACGAACGAACGAGCAAAAAAAAAATTTTCAGTTTTTCGAACGAACGAACGAACAAAATAATTTTTTACAAAACTTTCGAACGAACGAACGAACAAAACAATTTTTTTTTATATTGTCGAACGGTCGAACAAGTGTTCGAAAGTGTTCGACGGCCAACACTACGCATATCATTCAATGGAAACTCGTCAATATTAACCGTCACGCTACCATGCATTTGATTGTCACGCCAAAGTGAGTACCCGCAGCAGACAAGAAAATAAAATTTACATTTATTGGCGAGGTAAATTTGGCAAAGTGACTTCAACTCGACACGCATCATAAATTTTCTGATTCTTTGTTTCTCATATGAAACAATGCATTTGCCAAAAAAATGAGGTAATGCTTTGTCATCAAGATGCGGGTCGAAAATTAGTATAAATAGGCATTCAATTTGCACTGAAGACCAGACGCTGCAGTAGAGTAGACCACGCTGAATCTACTGTGTTGTAAAAAAGGGAAAATAAAAGTGTAAAATCAGTTTAACGAAAATCCCACTGATTGAAAATAAAAAGGAAAATTAAAGTGTTGAAATAAATAAACCACCAAAACACAAAAAATTCTAAGTATTTTATTTCATCATAAACAGCGTAAGTAATTTAAAACACATAAAACTTGCGGTGCTTTTTCTGACAAAATGTCAAAACCGATACAAAGCAGCAATATTGGTGTGGTTAAAGTTTGACAAAAATGTACTGAAATTAATATTCTACATGGCAATCGAATACAGAACTCAAAAAACTACATAGGATTTTTCAATTGATTTCACTTATGTCCGTTTTGCCTTTTCTTTTAAACCCTCTTAAGATAGTCAGCAACCGGCTTGCAATCTAGGAAAAAGAATCGATACAGTTTGAATCACATTTTTTCTAAATAGAATTGTTCAACATTACTTTCACTACGTAAAGGACTAGTAACAGCTGCTAGATACGGTGTCTGTTTATCAAAATCTTCAGCAGTAACACTGGCCCCATTGGCAACAAGAAGTTGAACTATCTGTAAGTTGCCTGGAGGATATTATCGAAATATGATAAAGATTAGATTAATTGCTCATCAAAAATAAATATTTATTCTACAAATCATAGCAGCAAAATGAAGAGGTGTCCGCTTTTGTTTGTCTATAGGATTAACTTTAGCTTTTTTCGTGATGAGCAATTCGACAACCTTAATGTGACCTGAAAAATAACATCGATCAATGTTGAAAATCAAGTCATTCTCTTATTAAGTTAAATTAAATATCCAAAATTACCATACATAGCAGCATAATGAAGAGGTGTCCGCTCAAGATCGTCTATACGATCAACTTCAGCTTTTTTCGTGATGAGCAATTCGACAACCTCCATGCGATCTGAAAAATAACATCGATCAATGTTTAAAATCAAGTCTTTCAGTTAAATTAAATATCCAAAATTACTATGAATAGCAGCATGATGAAGAGGTGTCCGCTTAAGACTGTCTATAGGATCAACTTTAGCTTTTTTCGTGATGAGCAATTCGACAACCTCCATATGACCTGAAAAATAACATCGATCAATGTTAATCAAGTCTTTCTCTCATTAAGTGAAAATATTCAAAATTGCCATTCCAAGCAGCCTAATGAAGTGGTGTCCGCTTAAAATCGTCCGTTTGTTCAACTTTCGCTCCTTTCGTGATAAGCATTTCAACGACATTCAAGTGACCTAAGAATTAAAATCGATTAATAAAATAGGTCAAAACAATTTCTTATTTAATCAAATATGTAACATTACCATTCTTAGCTGCTAAAAGAAGAGGTGTCTGCTTGTTAGCGTCTTGAGGATCAACTTTGGCTCCTTTTATGATGAGCATTTCAACGACATCCTTGTGACCTAACAAAATAATACAAATCAATGAAATTGAAACGAAAAACCAAATTCATATTTAGTGTGAATCGACGGTCGCAAGTGTCAAACGTAAATGCTTAGTAGGGACAGTAAGAGTATTCTTACCATTCTTAGCAGCCAAATGAAGTGGTTTCCGATTATCATTGTCCTTCGAATCAACTTTTGCTCCTTTTTTGATGAGCTCTTCAACGATCTTCAATTGACCTGAAATAAATCAATGAAGAAGATTTAATCAATTCCTGATTTAGTGAACATAAATATCCAAGATTACCATTCTCTGCAGCGTTATGAAGATCTGTCCGGTCGGTTTCGCATTTATCGTTTCGGAGAATTGAAAAAAAAAACGGATTAATGAAGTGAATCGAAAGAAAATACAACGAATTTATCATAAATTGAATTAAGTTTTAGTTAATTTAGCTAGGATTCTTTGCTGGATCATATCGAAAATGCCTTCATACATCAAACGGTGCTTTGTACATGGAATGGTAAGAATGAAATTTAAAATTGAAATGGAACTTCAAACTTACCTTTCATTCCTGCCTTTGCTTTGAAAAGACACCCAAGTCCACCTTCAATTTGCTTCATGTTGAAAATTGTGAACGCATAAAAGATAATTCGTTTGAATCAACAAAATTGAACGAATTGAAATAGAAGGTCAATTGATTTTTGGAACTGAAAGAAACTATTTGCAAAAATAGAATGTCGAGTAAAGAATACGATTCCTTATCATTTATTTCTTTTTTCCATCGTTTTCGAAAAGTACATTTGTATGAAAAATTGTAAGTTACCATGAATCGGTCTCCCAAAACCGCAACCAAAATCAAACCAACTAAACGGAGAGAAAATATCGATTAAAACACAAGAAGTGAATGAAATCGTAAGTATTGTCAAAAATGAAAATTAGAAAAAAATGAAGGAAAAAAGAGCTAAGAAGAGACTCACCCATCAATTGCTTAGACATGTTTCTAGTCGAATCACTTGAACAATAGCTAAATTTCCAAGAATTCCGTGTATCATTTATAGTCAAAAATTAGATCTTGTTACTTTTCCGCACACGAAGTGTGAAGGAGAAGTATAGCGATCGTCGTGAAAATTTTAAATTTTCGTTGTAAACACGATAACTTACAAAATAGTAGAGCGATTTTGCTTAAATTTGGCCAGGAGGTAGCTTACGTAAATATCTTGGATGTATCAGAAGTTGGACCGAATTGGGCCAGTCCATCTGGTACTTTTGCTACATTATAGATTTTCATCCAAGGGTCCCCCTTGGATTTTTTCAGGAAAAAATGTCTTTTCTCACCACAAAAAATGCATTTTTTGGTTATTTCTTAGCCTTCTTCGCGATTTTTTCGTGGTAAACTGTGTTAAACGATGTTTTGCCACGATGGCCGACCATGATGGTCTGTTTTTAATTACTTTTTTCACTTCAAAATGCATTTTCTGGCTATTGTGGGCTGTTTTTTTATGGTTAGCCGTGTTAAATGATGTTCTCACCACGATGGACGTATTTGATGTCCTTTTTACTGTTTCGAAAAACGCACAAAAATTCCTTGTAAACACGATAACTTTCGAACCTCTTGAGCGATTTTGTTTAAATTTTGCAACGAGCTGTCTTATATAAATATCTTGAATGTTGGACCCAATCGGACCAGTCTATCTGGTACTTTTGGTATATCATGGAATTTCACACAAGGGTCCCCCTCGGATTTTTCGATCGAAAAAAAATTCTATAATTTTTTTTACTGTTTTTACACGATTTTCCCATGGTAAGTGATGTTAAATGGTGTTATAACACGATGGTCGACCACGATGGACTTCATACCATTTTTACATAGTATAGTCAATATGGGTATCATATGAAAGGTCTTTGAACGGAGATGAACATGAACACCATATCGGTCCACTACGGTTATGTTAACACCACTTAACATCATTTTTTTATATGAATAGTTGACATGGGTGTCATATGAAAGGTTGTAAAATGGGCGTGGACATGGACACTATATCCGTCCATCATGGTGACCATAAAAATCCAAACATACACTGTAAGTTTTCGGAGGGGAATGAGTAATCTAGATACAGTGCGAAATAGCGGTTTCAACTGTTTTTGGATGAATTTATACTAATTTTAGGGGAAAATGTGTTATTGCTTATGCGAACGCTCAAGTGGCTACTATTCATATACGTGTCAATACATGAACACGCACTGGTCACCAAGCCTGTGCAGTTGTATGTATTGTAAATTTTGCACACAGCAACTCGTTCAATACATACAACTGCACAGACTTGGTGACCAGTGCGTGTCTATGTATTGGCACGTATATGAATAGTAGCCACTTGAGCGTTCGCATAAGCCATAACACATTTTCCCCTAAAATTAGTGTAAATTCATCCAAAAACAGTTGAAACCACTATTTCGCACTGTATCTAGATTACCCATTCCCCTTCGAAATTTTGGTGTGTACTTTGAAATAAGAACAATTGCAACATTCTATCCAAGTGATCTATATTTTACATTCTACCGAAAATGTGCGGAAAAGTTCGTTTTACATGGTAAAACATTTTATAAACTTGTCGTCATTATGACACGTATAGCAGAACAAAATTCTTTACGACTGAAATCGAAAACAAATTATTTGAAAACATGTTTTTAATTCGAGCTTCTTGCGTCAATTCGTCGCGTTTTGTTATTTTGACAGGTGCAAATGTTTGGATATGTAAATGAACTCGTATTGACCCAAGGGAAATTGCGCATGCAAACCACATGAGTAACAAATTTTTCTGAAACTTATTTATTTTCGAACTCAGTGAACGTACGATTAAGTGTCCTTGTGTAAATTCTCGCTTGTTCATTACACAGATGCAGATGTGTAAATATGTAAATGAACTCGTGTTGAAACGCAAAAATAATAATAATTCATTATTATTATTCTTTTGCGTTTCAAAATTCCCTCTACTTATTCAGCATTGACGATTTTATTGTGTCCAATCAATTACAATTTGGATTTTTACTCAAAGTAATAAATGAAAACGATTAATAAATATGTTTTGATAAAAACCATACCTAGAATTCTATCAGAATATTTGAGAATTCAAATTGTGGATGAACGGTAGATAAAAGAATACCTGCAACAATTTCATTCGACATAATTTTGAATACATAAAATACAGAATTATTTGTTAAATTTTCTTTAAAAAAAAAATCGAAATAAACATGGAAATCCAATAAATTTGTGGTCATTCGCCGTTTTTGCATTTTTTGAGGAACGAATTTCTTAGTGCGACTCAATTCTTCATGTATTTTCCTCGTTTTTTCACATCTATGGTATCTTGGAATTCTTGATTAGATCGTCTAATCACATTTTTTTTTCAACAGTTTTTCGTCTGACAAAAATTGACATGTTTTTTACATGAAACTTTTTTTGCGATTTTTTTTTTGCACCAAAAGTAATAAGATACTTATTACAATCTTATTACTCTAATAAGATGGACTTATTACTTATTACGCATCTTATTACAAAGTAATAAAATGAAAGTAATAAGTAATAAGTTACTTATTACTTCACTTCTATAATAAACTATCGACATATTCATCTGGTGCCGTTGATTTTCCCAGTACAAAAATGTTCAAAATTTGCTTGATTGATGCCAGCCCTTTGTTCTTTGCTGCGCGTTTACTTCAATATCGCACATTAAACTTAACAAAACTTTGCCATCCGTACGAAATTGGCCTGGAAATTCCGTCAACATTCGTTCGAAAAATTCTTTTTAACTTTCTTTACCCTTCCGCATGTCGATGTCGTTTTTGTCACTCAACTCAGAGAACTAATTGTTTCAATCGAGACTGTCTCGAATCGAGAACGAAATTCAAAATACCAAATTTCATTTGTGCGCGAGACTAAATATTATCGTTAGTTGTTTACATGAAATGCGATTATTGACAATTTGCGAGCAAGCAATATTTCGGCGAACAGCAGTATAAAAAAATGTCGATCTGGCTACACAGTAAAATGTATATACATTTTGCAAACACCATTATATTGCAGAGTTGCTGTTTTGTTTTAATTGATCATGGTTTGTCAAGTCGTGCACAGACGTGTAAACGAGGGGCAAATCTCTCCAAAGTAATTTGTAATAGAAAAAGTAATCGAGAAAGTAATTTACGTGTAAAAATCTCGATTACTTTTCAATTTTTTAAAAGTAATCAAGGTTTTTACACGTAAATTACTTTCTCTATTACAAATTACTTTAGAGTGATTTGCCCCTCGCGTGTAAAGAGTGTTGGGATTTATTCGACGAAATATTCATTTCGGGATATGTATCAATGCTCAAAATATGTATGAAAAGCGAAGGTCCTGCATCTAAGCGTCTGACAGCTCACTTCTAGCGCTACGAGACAAGTGTCAAAAGTTGTGACACAGATCGTTCAATCTATTATTGAATCTTTTTTATATTTGTTAATAAAGTAGACAAAAAAAAAATGTCACGAATGTGCAAAATTGATTTTTTTGAGAGCGTAATACGTGATAAACATAAATTTTATAAGTAAAAAATGTTTCTTTCATTACGGAACATTGTTGATGTGTTCAATTTGTCGCGTTCATGAGTGCGTCTAACGACGTAAAGAATTGAAATGAACTTCACTGAATGCGCTCATCGCAAATTCGTGTTTTACTTTGTTTTGTTAGTGTGGTGCAGGGGTTGTGCCCAAGTATCGTATGTTGCGGCAGCGCAAACAGAAAATTATCGCGCGATAATTATGCGATACTGTTTTTATGCGTTCTGGACAAATTGAATGAAATACTGGAGCATCAGAAAATGTTGTCGAAAATGACAACTGTTTTTCTGATCATTTGAACACTTATCTCGTCCTTACGCGACAGACAAATCATTTGAAAGTGGACTTCTGAAACCGAAACTGTGAACTATGCTATATTAATCCATCAGTATTCGATTGGAGATAAGTTTCAGTTCAAACAAGACAAAGCTCCATGCCAAGTTGAATTAAAATGAAACACTGAAACATCTTCGTCTTTGCTTTGTTAGCTATTTGACTCCTTCAATCAGGCACATTACGAATAAGTAACTTATATTTACTAAACATCACAATAAATCAATAAAAATAGAATATTCCCAATTCGATCGAAAAAAATATAGTTAAAATTAAAATATTTGTTTGTGAGACGATTTTCGTTTGCATGTCTCACATATCGCTTTGACATTTACATGTATTCTGATATTGAGCAACTGCCAACGCCATCTGTTAGTGTAACGAAGTATAACGAAGGAATTGTTGTATTCTATGAACGCTTTGCGCAGCTTACTCTTCGAATCGCTGCGAAGCTTGTGTGCCCGAGGGGCAAATCACTCTTAGGTATTACTTTTACATAAATGGTATTACTTGGTATTACTTGGATATTACTTTTTTTCGGTATTACTTTTTTCATAGAAATATCAAAAGTAATACCAGAGGTATTACTAGAAATAACTGAGGTATTACTTTTCTATTTGGTATTACTTTTGAGTGATTTCCCCCTTGTGTGTGCCACTGGACAAATTGCGTGTAGCGCTCAGATGTTCAACGTCACGCTAACAGATGGCGTTATATGTTCAATATTGATTCATTATTTGAGGCATGTTCGTTTGGATGGCAACAAGAAGTGGATTTTGAACAAAATCAGAGCTTATCTATAGTGAAAATGACTAGAGTGTATCAACCATTCAAGTTATTTTACTTTTTAAGTCTAATTTGGCATTATCATTGTTATTGTGCCATAAGCCACCTATGGGAATCCTTCACGAAACATTAAAAGTGAGATAAATTGCAACCATTCAACGAAAAATTCAGCCGAATTTAATTGAGGATTTATACTAACAACGTTTAAAATTATAGTCAGTTAACATTTGCAAAGATACAAATATAAGAATAATTTCAATTTTATGTCGAATGGTTGCGAAATATTTACGCTAAATTTACTCCAAATTAGCGATGAACGTGAAAAAAAAATCGGATTTGAAAAGGGAATAAATAGCTAGAGGTATTTATATCATTTGAATTTATCGAATTTGACTGTTTTGTTGCAATTTTATTCCGAATTTGCATATTCTTTGAGAACTTCCCACATTCAATTCTTTGTTACTACGAATGACAACTAAAATATTGCCATAGTTGTTACTGTTTTGGATTCGACAAATTCGCAAAATTGTAAAATATTCGAAAGTTTCTGAAGTCGAAATGTATTCGAATGGTGTGAACTCCGGCCAATTCGGTAATAAATATATTTCCCTAGATAAATAAGTGGTCGCGATAAAACAATGCCAAAGTATAAAAGCACGGTTTAAACTTGCGAAAAGCAATCTTATTTCGGATTGGGCTGAACACAAACCTACAATTTATAATGGACTTGAGAGTTGCCGCTTTCAGACTGCTGTTTGTATTGCTGTTGCAGTCAATTTTTGTTGCTTGTGCGACTCCGAGACGATGGGAACGTTTCAATGGAAAGTTTTACATTTTAAATTCGATTTGATATTTTGGATGAACATTCAAAAAATTTAAGAAGAAAAAATCCTGCAGCGAATGATCGACATAATTTTAACATCATTTTTCAATAATAGCAGTTAGAATTTGAAAATTATTGTGAATTTTATGCGCATATAAATCAAACAGATGGTGAATATGGGAATTACTTTGAAGGCGACATGGATTTAACGATCGAACAGGCACGTGCTTTGGATACGTCATCACGAAATGGATTAATCGAATCTAGCAAACGATGGCCAAACAACCGAGTTTTCTATGAAATTAACGACGAACACACGATGGAAGAACTGGTTGAAATTGAAAGAGCAATGCAAGTAATTGAATCGGTCTCATGCGTTCAATTCAAAGAACGTACCCATGAGCACGGATATATTGTATTTGGCGTAAGTATGCTTTCAATTTGGGAATATTTATGCAATTTCTAACAAATATGTAATTTGTTATGTGTTGAATAATTCATTCATTTATTCCATTCATAAGTTAAAAAAAAGTGGATAGGCTTTGATGAATCTTGTCATTGCTTCAGCTTCATTCTATTTGTCAGGCATCAGGATCAGGCTGTTCATCTAAAGTAGGATACCATGGCAATGCACAAACAATAAATTTGGCTCCAAAATGTTTTCAACGTTTCGGAACTATTATCCACGAATTATTGCATGGTGAGAATTATTGTTGGAGATTTCTTCATTTCTTTGGTAGATTATGTACTATATTAATTGCCCAATGATTCAGCTCTTGGATTCTATCACATGCAAAGCACCCATGATCGTGACGATTATATAAAAATCAATTATGAAAATATTCGAACTGGCATGGAGAGAAACTTTAACAAGTATGACTTGCAAAGGGTCACCAATTTTGGACAAAAATACGATTATGAAAGTGTAATGCATTACAGTGGATATGGCTTCTCAAAAAATGGACAACCAACCATTGAGCCGTATGTAAGTGAACGTGATTTCTTCTTTGTTGTCTTAAATACGACTTTCGAATAAACCTAATTGGATCGTTTATTCGGTTTGAATAAAATGTTTTGTATTAATTAGAACAAATCATACACAAATGTCATTGGACAGCGAATTGGAATGAGTAGCACAGACATATTGAAACTAAATATAATGTACAACTGTAATTCTCTAGATGAAACTTATGAATCTGGGCCATTTTGTACAAGGAATCTCAATCTACCAATGTGCTTACTAAAACCGAGTACTTGACTAAAACTCTTGTCCAAAATAGAATGAACAAAAATTGAAACAACTTTTATTTAATAAACTTTTTATGGACATTTATTTAATATCAATGACTTTTTTTTTCGTTATCAAATCTTAGCTAATAATTGAATTCATAATTTCAAATTTTGATAACACTCAAATAAAATAGGACTTTTATAATTCTAATTCTAATCGTTGGAAATCTTAATCAACATCATGTTCTCAATTAGGAATTGGGTAATTACAATGTGAGGTAATATTTATCAATTAAAAAAATACTGAATATGTGTCACATTTCTTTGGCTTCACTTCGATGTTTCGATTATCGAATTTTTTTTTACATAAAAATCCTCCAACTTCCAATCAGTTCAAGTCAAATGATTGCCTTGATGTGCCGAATATGGTAAAAATCCTTGATATCGGTCGGGTGGTGTTGTTGTTGGGTTGTGGCTCTTTTGACACCCTTTGCGATTCGATATCAATTTTCGAACGTATACTTTGCATCATAACCAATTCATTCCTAGTGGCCTTGCGTAGCATGAATACAATTAGACTGACTAAAATCGTTGCGACTACGGTAGCTGATAAGCATACGACTAGTGTGAGAAACCCATGTGGACTACCGTCAGTCGACACTCTTGCCACTGAAATGAAAAGAAAAAAAAAATTAAAAAATGAAATAAAAAAAATTAATTCAGCACAACACTGAAATGATTATGTTCTGTTTTGTGTGTGTTGCTTAAACCAATTTAATCGAGTAAATAATTTAAGCGTTGTGTGTGTGTGATAAGTGACTCTAATCTAATATCACTGACCTATGGCGTAGTATTTTACGATGAATGTTCTTGTTGCGAATCAAATTCGCAATGGAACTTGCCACAGTCTTGTTTGTCGCTTTGTCCTAATTGAACCACTGAACAATGGTCCATATCATCAAAATCGTACTATTTTCCATAATTAATTTAATTCTGCTATTAGAATTTTGCGCTGGTAGAAGTAAGTACATAATAATTTCATGGCAAAGCAAAAAAAAGTGTTTCAACCGAATTCGAAATCATTTTCAGATGTGAATGAGTGTTCTGCGGTGCCATCGGATGATATTTGTTCATTTGGTGAAGGAAATTGGGTAGAACGTTGGTATTTTGATACCAAAGCAAGGAAATGCGAACACTTTCTCTACGATATTGAATGTGGCAGTAGCAACGGAAATATTTTCCTCACCAAACATAAATGTGAAGTAAAATGCTTGTGATTATTGATTGTAATCGCCGCTTTTCTTGGAATTATTGCGTATCAACGGCGAAAACGTATCACATTCGAATATTCCAACGAGCAAAAATTGTATTTCAATCAAATATGCAATAAAATTGATTGTAAAAATTGTTGTTCTTGATTTTACGTCGAAAATTTTCCCAACATCAAAGCATCATCAGCTGGGTTGTTTTTTATTTCGCTCAACATTTTGTGCGTTGTTGTTTGCTATTGAAATCAAGCGTACAATTTCAGTTTTTATCAGCTAAACTGGTTTCATACAGAGAATAACCGCTTCCTCACTGGCTTTTTTGCAGTTTCTCACGTATTGTGTAATCAACGAATGACACAAGTATGACAACATAAGAACGCTTTGTGCCAGTATTCACCAGACAGTCAAAAAATTTGCTTATGTTAGATAAGTTGTGTTGAGTTCTGGTGTTTTTATTTTGCTTTGCTGTGAATTGCTGTAATCAGACGCATTAAAAAAAAATTTCTTTCTTCCCTGGTCTGTGTCCATAGCGTGAGAATTTTTTACATTTCATGAAAAAGAAAATAATGATAGGTTATGGTTGCTATAATTAATGGAATTGATAGGTGCGAGTACTTTTTTACTCTTAACGCTGGTATTGTTATCATGACAATGTGGAAGCGATTAGTATCATGTGTTGTGTGATTCACCAGGGGAAGTGTCTACTGTCTTCGTGTGACTGTGTATCGCGAATTTAAGTATTTCTCATTTAATTACACCTGCACCCACGATTTCAGCCACTTGATTTTTAATATTTATAATTTTTTACGATGAAAAATGCAACCATTTGAAAGAAAAAAACCAAACATTTTTAATCCAAAAAAGCGAAATAATAAAAATTTGTAGATCCATTTTCACGACCATTGGTTTGAATAGAACTGATGAGCCACGATGTGGCCACGAAATATTCGACCACGTTCCCATTTATTGAAATTACTTAATTCAAAGATAACCCATTTTATGTGATGTTCAAAACTCGAACATCACAATGCCATCGCATCGATAATGACCGCAAAATTGGAGACAATAAACTTTATCGATTGCGTCTGGGTAATGCAACTCGTTTACTCCAAAATAAAATGAAAATCGCTGTATTTCTGTAAAAGTCATTGTAGCCAAGTTCAAGTCTGTTGTGCCACGTAACAAGAATAATAATGAATGTGCAGCGTTACACAATTGCATTTATAAACATATGTTTCAAGCACCTTTTTTTTGCAATGTTACTTTAAACAATGCAAAGACTTCCAATGCATATATCAAGTTTTTAGTGCCATTCAGCAAAAGAAAAAGAGACAGACTATTTATTTAGCTGGCGCACATATGCCTTACATTACAGTGCAAACCCGCACTAACATATGAAATCAATGCACAGAGTTAGCGCATAGCAGGTAATCTGATTGTTTTTGAAAAAAAATAATATAAAATTGCATTCATGAGACTGCATTTAATGGATTAGCTCATGCAATTTCCGCTTTATTTTCATCCATTTTAATTTCTAATTAAATTAAAATTGATATTTGCATGTCCAAATGATATGGTTCTAAAATGCACGTTTTAACGGAAGAAATGGCTCAATCCTCCGAACAATAGCAACAAATCTCGCCACTTCCTTGCATTCTATCGCTCACTTTCAATTCGACGCAGCAACAATTTGCAATTGTAGCTATTTTTACGCCTTTAATCCATTCTATCCATTATCAGCGGTAAATATTCCATATGCATTCATTTACAGCGTTAATAATTGCAGCCCGAACCGGCGCATTATCATGAATATGTAAATAGTGTCGGATTCAAAGGCGAACACAATTTCGGTTTCATTGATAACCACAGAAAATTTCCATGGCTTACACAAAAACAACTATTTTTACGTTTTTGCCTGCAATTTACTTGCTTCGCTGCATTTCTTCAAAAATAGAAGGTCAACACTGGTAAAAGTGAAGTTAATGCTCGCATTTATGGACACATTACCATAAATATGATCCAAATTTGACGGCATTTCGAGTATGTATATCGAGGTGTTATACCTACAGCGCGTGGGGTAAATAAACCTTGCTCTTGAATTAGTTTTATGATATTTATGGTGCTTTGTTTTAATTTCGAATTTAAGTGTCTGTTGTATATATTTATTTGCCTTGTATTCGAATTGTTATCAAAACATCACCTGTTTTTTTTACTGCAACGAAAGAAAACTATAAAAACGAAGAAGGTGTGCAACAAATGGCATTTTAATTATTTATTATCAGGTCAAATTTTCTATTTTTTTTCTGTTGTTTTTACTCCCGAACAGGTTTGTTCTCCCGAAAATAGAAAATAAAATTGTTATTGCCACATACTTTAATCAATACTCCAGAAATTTGCAATGAAACGATAAGAAATTATATCATTAGTAACGTGACCATTTTCTATTTTTCTGAGTTTTGTTCCGCTTTTTGTGTGTTGTTTTTATCAAGATATAAATTTTGTTTGCGAAAAAAGTTTAAATGGTCATTTTCTTAATCAGTTGAAAGAAAAAAATTCGGCGGAAATAGCGGATTTTGCCCTTTTTCACATGATCTATTTATTAGGTAATGATAATTTTTAGCCTGTAAATCCCCAAATTTTAGAGATATTCAACGTAAAAACGTGCTTTTTTTCTGTACACAAACATGTTTGTACTCTTGTACACATACAAAATTGCATCACATTCATTTCAATTTAATCGCGTCTATTAAACTAATTTATTACAATTTCAATTGGACATTAACCGAAATATGTACATACTCTGTTGATTAGAAAAACAGATTTATTATCCAAAATGTTCGGGCAAACCGAACGAATGAATCATAAACATGTACGGGACTACGATGTGTTCATCACACGTCCCTCACTTTAACCGAATCAAATGTGATAATTAAGTTAAAGTGTTGCACGTGATCGACGCAAAAAGTTCCTACAGTCCGCCAGCCTATCGACGGATTTTACGGAACGAATTTGCATGTGGTTCGTCAATTGGAAGATGACCGGCTCACATGACGGAAATGAGGCCGTTTGATAAACAAAATTGTTGAAGTGTTTCATGTGGTTCTTCATTGATTGTTTACAATGTGATTGTCACATGCTGTTGATTGAGACAGTTGGTATGAGAAACGGTTAGCCAATTGCCAAGAATCCTGTCTCTCTGTTGCCAATCGATTAATCTGTTGCATTACAGTCGGCGACTGACAACTGGAGAGATTTATCTTGTTAACAACAAACACTACGCTATCAATTCATTTGCGTTCACTTTTGCACTTGATTTGTGTTTTTTTTTTCTTCTGTTCGTTCGTTTATTTGCCATAATGGAAAACGTGTGATTGCACGTTCAGAACTGTTTGAGCTGCACGCATAACACTCGGCGATCTCCGTCTGGGAGTCAATCGGAGCAATGAACATGACTGAGAATTTTTAATGATCGATGTCCAAAGATTTTCAATTGAAATCGAATGAGCACGAGTAAAATCACACAATATCTGTCTACTTTCGATATCGCTGACATTGAATTAGAGAAAAATTTCGACATTTTTCTTCCCCAATTAAATTTCGAATTAAAAAAACGAGAGAAACAAAAAAAAAACAGAACAATGTGGAAACGTACCGGTTCCAAAATCATAGCGATTAGGATCGTTGATTAGTTTTTCCATAGTCGTATCGTGTAATGTGATAGTGACGCTATTGGCTTCAATGTTGATAACAAATCCACAATTTAAACCACCGATCGTGACCACTGTTTGCGATCAACTGACGAACAGCCCGCTTTGTTTACTGCAATAAATGCGGTGATGCCGTTTGTTTTTATACGTCATTCGTGGGCTATTTTACTTTACCGTAGTTACTGCCTGTATTCATGCTGACGCTGAGAGTGGTGCTTTCAGTACACCTACGAGCATATATTACTAAAGAAAGCCGATTCACTCTGAAAGTGGATTAAATGTCTATATTTACATTTTTTTCTGCTCTTATCGCACAACTTAGAATAAATTCCAAGAGATTTTTTTTTTCATTGTTCTGAACAACATCTAGAACACATTTATTTTCATTAAAATTTCTTCTAGAATTTCTGTTGTTGTTCATATAAACATACATATAATATGGTTAATCATTTTGTTTTGGGTGAAATGGAAATTTGAAACGAACGTGATAAACAGCAGCGAACTTAGCAGCGAATTATTTCGCAACGGTTGTTTATCTTCAATTTCAATTCATCTTGGTCATATACGTATCGGTGAACAAAAAACGTGTACATTTTTCCAATTCCCACGAATGCCCTGTTTGAAACTTCTGGATGATTATGACGTCCGGCTATAATCGCACTTCTTTTTGCAAAGAACATTTGTTCGCATGGGACAGCAGACGGTTGTTCGATTTGAGATTAGATAATACACAAATTTATTATCGATAGAAATTTGACGACGCTCGTAATTTGAATAGGTATACACTTATTGGCACAATTGATTGGAAAAACAATGAGAAAAAATGAAGAAAAAAAATTAAAAGAAATAAATAAAACGCCGGCGCAATGCATTTTATTTGAATTGGTTTTGCGTTTTTTTCTGCTAATGTTATTTATTCATTGGAATATAATTGAAGTGTTGGATGTTCATGTTTTAATACAATAGAAAGGGGCATTTTAGAAAAGTCATGATAAACATTTGTCATGTTTTTGATTGTCAAATTGCTTAATTTAATTGAGGTATCTACTGTTGTCGAGAACTTATATCTATTAAACAAATCAAATTCGGTTGACTCAATCGCGCCATGACAATTTTCATAAATAAATAGTTGGTTGATTTAAAAATGCTCAAGCAGTGTATCGGTGTGTGAGTCTCAATTCAAATTTGAAACGAAAAATCTCTCTCAATCTAACACCCGATGTCGGTAGTACAGATCTCGTATACACACATTTTGATCGTCTATGTGTCAAGCGAACGAAGTGTCAACATTTAGTACAGTGGAGAAAAAGCAAAAGCAAAAGCATAAACAATGCCATAGGATTGTCTATCAACGCGATATTTTTAAGTTTTTTTTTTTGTTTTGAAGACAATTGCACAAAGTTTTTAGCTTAAAAAATGAATCGAGATGATGTAATACCGCCGAGTCCGCAGTTGAAAGAGAAAAAATCGCGTTCACGGTCGAAAAACTCCAAAACATCATCTCGTCAGAAGAAACAACCTCGTTCAATACTGAGTTTACGGATGAAAAAATTACAAGTTGCGGCCGCCGAAAATTCGAATGTTGCTGGGTCATCGAGTGGAGCAAGTCCGGGAGAAAGTCATGGTATGCAAGTATGTGATATTTACGCAGGTATTGATGATGTGTCGGCTGAAGAGAAAAACCACACAATATCAGTGTTGAGTGGTTTTGACATTCTGGGACAGCCAAAACTCATCGAACAATGTAACCGATACGATATGACACAAGCACGGAAAACGGATACGTCACAGCGATTTTCACAAACACGCCGTTTGATTTCGCTGAAAGAGCTATTGTCGTCACAAGATTTACCACAATCCGATACGGAATCACCCGATTCGCCATGCGCACAAGGTTTGTCCAATTCGGGCATTGAAAAGGAAGCCAGAGATGTGTCGTGTGAAAATTTTCATTTTTCCGAGTGGCCACATCCAATTTGCAACACACCAAATCAACCATCAAATTCGAATCGAGTTCTCAATTTATCGCTGCAATCTGTGAATGAATCGCTTTGTTCGGTGCATTCAAATGACAATCAACAACAGCCAGTTTCTGCTGAGCAGCCACAAATCAAACAATCAACCACACACAATGAAATGAATGCTTCATCTTTTGTTCAAAGCATTTTGGATGATTTTGACAGTGGTGACGATTCAAATCAAGAGGTTACTACACAATTGCCTCCGCTGTGGTTAGTTAGGCGAACTAAAAGGAAAATGTACGATCGAACACGAGTCGCTCGAGTGAAACAATTGCTGGATGATTCTGATATGGGTTTGAATTTAAGTTTTTCCTTTCGTCAAAATCTAACGGATCTTGCTACAGGTCTCACACAATCGAATTCATGTGACTTTGTTTCCAAGAAAGATTCACTTCAAACGATAACAATTTCGGATAACGGAGACACGGACACAGAACAAATGTCAATGGTATTTTACCTATTTGTGCATGATCAAAAGGATGATTTTCTAAATGCCGATGGTATTTTACCAAAGGAAAACGTTGACAATGACCAAAAAGAGATCGCTGATGATACACCGTGGAGATGTCCAAAAGAACGAAAACCACCAAAAGAAAATGATCCATCAATTCATTTGTTGAATTTGGAAGATGACATTTTTGCAAACATTGAAACACCGAAAGCATCAGCACGGTGTAAAGCGAAAAAACCGAATTTAGTTTCAACGCCTCTTTCGACATCAACAAAAGGGCGTTCTGGAGACTCAGTGATGTACACAACACCGTCCACGTCGAAACAGGCCATTTTGAGTGAACAGAGAATACCAAAACGATTGCACTTCGGTGCTGAAATGGTAAATCATCCTGAATCGCCTGCAATGGAGGCCTTTAAGACGGCTGCGTCAACATTTTCCGGCTTTGCAACGGCACGTGGTAAGACGCTTCAAATGTCGACCGCTCAAATGAAACGAACCGCTGCCATATTTGCCGATATTGATGAAAAATATAAGGAAATCGACCCAACTTTAGAGGAAGTGCCGAGTGCGAAGAAAGTCAAGCATGGAGGAGAAATGGTGCCTGATTCAAATCGAATCAGTGATCCTAGTCGAATGAAACCAGAACGAAATGTGATTGAGCCCAGCAATCAACATCAAAAGTTTGGTGGTTTTGGAAAAGCAAGTGGCGCTAGTACAAGTGTGGCGGCTACGAAGAAAGCATTAAACCTTTTTGGAGAAGATTTCAGTGATTTTGGATTCAAGAATCAGCCACAATCAAATTTCAAGCCATCAAATGTAGCTGGACCAAGTGGTTTGGCTGGTTTTGCCACAGCTCGCGGTTCCAATATCAAAGTATCTGCCGATAATATGCTAAAATACGCAAACACACTGAAAGAAGTCGACCGTGGTGTGCGCGAAGAGTTTGGTATCAAAGAGAATATCAATTTAAATGATGAAAATTTGTTGTGCAAAACGCCATTGGGTAAATTAAATCAGCGAACAAATGCTTTCGCCACTAGTACACCAAACCCGAATTCAATGGCTGGCTTCAAAAATTATCCACCGATCACACCGATTACTAAAAACTCAACCACTCATGATGTCTTGTACGATGATAATGATGAACTATTCAATGAAATTAGTACGCAACCTCAGAAGTTGGAACCGGCCATTGCAAGCAATAACACGTCTGTGAATTTGAACGATACATCCGCCAGTGATTTTCAGCTGCTCAATGTCAGTGTCGCAGGTGTTAATGTTCTGAATATTCCAGAAGAAATCAAATGTGAACGAGAAAAAGCCTTGAATGAACAGCAAGTTGAGTGTTTTAAAAAACCGAGACCAATTCGGCCACTCCATGGTTCAATTTGGATACAGCGATTATTGGAGCCAGTGAAACTTCAGGAATTGGGCCAACCAAAAAAGTGCCAACGCGATGAATTGGAACGACTTGGAGTTCCAGCGAATATCATTGAACTGAGTGCTGAGAATGTGCTGCAATTCAAATTCGATATGTGGAAATTCTATTCGGAGGAAGAGTGCCATACGAATGTCGACGGAATCATTATGTCGGATGAGATGTGCTTGATTATGGATGGAAATTCGCGAGTTGGAATCAAAGAATTGACGAGCGCATTTTTGAATTGTCCATCAGTCGACCCAACATTAGTGCCCGACCATTGGATAAAAAATGCCATAAAATGGATCTTTCTCAAATTGGCCAGCTACGAACGATCGTATCCACACCAGTTTTCAGGAAAATCTTTGACACCGGAAAATGTAAGTAACTCATTTGGTTGAGAGAAAGAAAACGAATTTTGCTCAAGTAAACCGATGAAGCAATTCTAATTTTCATCCTTGTTTTATTTCAGGTTTTGGTCCATCTCAAATATCGATACGACCAAGAAATTGACAACGTACAACGGTCGGCAATTCAAAAAATCGTTGAAAAAGACGATTCAGCTGCCAAACGAATGGTGTTGTTTGTTAGCCGAATTCTCGACAATAACTTGGCCTGCACGCTTGAGCTAAGCGACGGATGGTATTCGATAAAAACGAGTGTATTGGACGCGGTTTTAACCCATGCTGTAATTAATCGCAAAATTGTGATTGGTACGAAACTAGTCATTCAAGGAGCTGAAGTGGTTGGATTCGAAGAAGCGTGTAGCCCGCTTGAAGTAAGAATATCTTCTATGGTTCCCTTTCAAAATTCAAGTTTTCATATTTTCCTGTTTTTTTTCCTTCTTTTTTGTGTGTGTCATCAATTCAGTCTTTGATTAAATGGTGAAATAAATAATAATAATTCTCTATTGTAATTGTCATTGTGCTCTATTTTCAGATGCCCGGTTCAGTGGCGTTGAAAATACAAGCGAATTCAACGAGAAGAGCCAGATGGTTCGCTAAACTTGGCTTCTGCAAAGAAACATGGCCATTCGCCATATCGTTGAATTCTGTGAAAGGAGATGGTGGTGTTATAACACGGATGAAGGCATATGTACTTCGTGTTTATCCACTGGTTTTTATGGTTAAACAAAAAGTTGAAGATGGACACAAAACAGGTAAATATTTTTTTCGGATGGTGAACTATAATTTCAATCAGAACACTAATTACACTTTCAATACTACAGTGTTCCGATCGAATAAAGTGGAGCAACGTCAAAATAAGCAAGACGACAAGAAGCATTTGGATATTATCGAAAAGCTATACGCTGAAGCCAATGCGGAGGTTGAGAAAGAATACGAGGGAAAGCGAAAGAAATCCAAACGAAGATCAAAGCAAAAGATTTGTGATATTGAGGATGGCGAAGAGCTGTGGAATTACTTGGAGGATTCGAACGATAGTATAGAGGTACGATCAGAAGAGATGGGAAATGATGCAGGGAATCCATTTATTTATTTTCCATTTTATTTCTTTTTCATTTCCCCAACAGATGGATTTATCAACGACTCAAATCAAATTATTAGAAGATTATCAGACGAAACTCAGCGATGAGAAGCAGAACAAAATCAAAGCAATAGTCCACGAGAAACTGATTGCAATGGGAAACCCAACTAGATCAGTATCGCTACAAAAACTGCGTTTAATTGATGCAACTTCACCGTGTGCAACGAAGTCAGCGATTCTATCAATTTGGAATGCTGGCGATGCGTACGCTTCATTGCGGGAGAATACATTTTTGGATCTTCATAATGTCACAGCAAATGGAGTGCGTGGTAAAGATCTGCAATTGACGGCCAGTAATTTTACATCGATTCGACCTGTTCAGTTGAGTCCCTTGTCTTCGCATGCTACATTTGCGCGCAAATTGACTCCCCTTGCTGAACTCGATCCATATCGTTTTCATCCACATTTCAACGAGTTTGACACGCTTGGTTTTGTGCTGAAAGTCGAAGATATCGTGCCAAATTTTCCGTTTCAATCGGTGTTCATTGTGGATGCCTTTCGAAATATACTTTGCATAAAATTCTGGGGTAACATTCAACAGCATGCCTATGATGACATTGTCAGAGTGAACAAATTCCTAGTGATAAGCCAATTGGAATGGAGACCACACAATCGATTCAATCGAACTGGTGTGACACAAGCATTTGTCACCGAACTAACAACATTCTCAGAGAGTCCAAAGTTGGCTGAACGGTCATTGGCACTAGATGATTTACGTGAAAAAATCGAACAAATGGATATGAATGAGTTTATCGAAGGCTGTTGCAACAAATTGGGTGAGGGAGTTCATGCGAATAAAGAAAATTCAACGTCAAACATATCGTCAAATTCGACTTTGAATCAATCAATGGTGATTCGAACTGGAGCCATAGCATCGCCAGCGATTCAATCGCCAACAGTGATTATGCAGAAAGTCGATCGGCTTCGACACGTTGGAAGTCCGCCTCCATTCAGAAGCTCATATCTACAAAATGGTCAAACACCAAATGGATCACGTAAACCATTCAAAACACCATCCCGAGCACAACAATCAACATCGTCATGACAAACCATTGAACATTGTCATTTCATAAACCTTTTTTTTTTAAAGATTCATACTTTTTGATTCAATTCTCAAGTTGAAAAAAATTACTATATTCAAAGCGTGATACGATTTATTTATTTTCTTCTTTTTCGTTATCGATTGTTGATCATTACAATTTTAGTCATATCATTTGATTAGCTACCGAATAAATTTAACTTCACGTTGAAGTTGTAACGAACTAATTCGCATGAGTTTGCATTTCAATTGTGTTTCAAAAGTGCAATACTTTTCATTTTGACACAAAACATTGAACATAACCTCCAAGTGGCATACAGTATTTTATCAACTGGCGATCATGTCGGACGAAGTAGCATTGGCTCAAGCCGCTGTACCAACCGAAGATACCATCTTTGGGAAAATTTTACGCAAAGAAATCCCATGCACATTCATCTATGAGGATGATAAAGTAAGACAATTGCATTGACATCATCGATATTATCTTGTTTGACAGTCGCATTGCTATGGTGCATTCCGAAACAAACAAAGCGATTTTTATCATTTGCAAACAATGTGAAGAAAAATTTACGTAACAATGTGATTCATCCTTTTTTTCTGCAGTGCGTGGCATTCAACGATGTGAATCCACAAGCGCCAGTTCATTTCTTGGTTATTCCACGTAAGCCAATTTCGCAACTTTCAAAGGCACAAGAGGAAGACGAAGCATTGTTGGGTCATTTGTTGTTTGTTGGCCAAAAAGTCGCTGCTCAAGTTGGATTGGAGAATGGTTTTCGTGTAGTTATCAATGATGGCAAGGATGGTGCACAATCGGTTTACCATTTGCATCTTCATTTCTTGGGCAAACGTCAACTCAAATGGCCACCAGGCTAATTTCAATCAAAACTGGAGAACATCACATACCAAATGCATTTGAAATTGATGCAATTAGCTTCAACCGAAGCCGATAACTTCAATAAAAAAAAAGGAAAAAATCATTTAAAAAAACATTGTCTTTCATTTTATTCAATTTTTTCTTCAAATTCTTTAGCTTAAATACAAATAAACAGTTGATTCAACTAAATGACACTGTCCGACGATGTGGGTCGGTTAGCTGGTGCATATGACGGCGGTGACATGCTATATGGTGCATATTTTCGCTTATCGTTTCCCAGAGATTCGTGTTTGGAAAAGTATTTACGTTCGATAACCTTATCAAAAAATCGATTCAACTTGGCCGAGTTTGTTGTACCGGTTGCTAGGCTTCTTGCTTCATGGCAGTTCAGGCAAATTACATCAGCACCACATTGCTCGGCTAAAATTATGGAAAATGTACAAATTAATCAGGATAATGTGTATGGTCACGACGGACTTCGCACTCGGACACAACAATTGCAACAACGATTTCAATATTTATTGTGTAAAAGAAAATTACCAATATTTCCACCTCGATTCAGCTCTTTGATACGCTCTTTATCATCCACCATATCGGCTTTGGTTCCAACCACAAAAATTGGTATCTGAAACGATTTTAACTGAATTTGTTTTTGGTTGCTATTAAGAATCACATGAATCACGCTCATTCTACTTTAATCCCAATCAAATATGAAATCCCTTCAAACCAAACCGACAATAAAACTGGAGTTGAAAATCGGTACCTGTGTCGATCCAAGAAAGCATTCGGGGTCAAAGTCACTATCACAACTATTTGATCGATTAATGTCTTTGCCATCTTTGTTGATAATTTCGTAGAGCCATCGCTGTAGATTGTCGTGACTTTTGCGATTTGTGAGATCATGCACGAGTATAATGCCGTGTGTTGGATTATAAAAAACGCCACGCGTATTTTTATGACTGATGGAACCGCCTATGTCGAATAATTCAATGAAAAATGTCTGCTGTTGATTCGTTCCTTCTTTGTATTCGTGAAGTTTTACTTCGACAGAACAACCGATGGTCCAGCCGGGCGACACTAACGCTTCATTGTGTGCCATTAAATGAACGAGTGATGTTTTGCCAACACCTAAAATATTTCACAATCACAGTAAACATTTAGTATTTTAGACGAAATACAGGAATAATTGATTTCAATGAATTTCAAAAATTATTTCGATTTTATTGTTTACCTGAATCGCCGACCACAATAATTCGTACTTTATCTAACGAAGCCATCTAAATATATGTACAAAATAACCGAAGAATTCAACAGTAATTCGTTGAATAAACAGAAAAAAACCACTTTGCCAGCGTCATGTGTCCGGACGATTTTATTTGTGTATTGAGCGAAACAAGCGCATCTGTCATTAACGTGTCACGCACACCAACAAACGCCATTTGACACACATATGGACAATTTGCTACATAACATGTAATACATATTAACAACGCAATAATAGTATACACATATGCTATGCACGCTTATGGCTTTCAATCAAAATCACTGAATAAGCAAATGAAAACGAAAAGACGAAGAAAAAAGAGAACAAATATCGCATGTTTGTTTTTTTTTTGCGGTCCCAAAAGCAGAGGTTTTATTTTTTATGATTTTTCACGGATTGAACACAATTGCAGAATTACATAATTTGTACGATTGTGTGAGACATTTTGTTGGTTGTTCATGTCTCAGCCTACTAAATGTTCTAATCTCCACTGTCTCAAAAATTGACAACCAGTTAAATTAGTATTTAGGTTAATATAATATAAGAGGGAATATATTAAAATTGGTAATTGTATTTTTTTTTGTTCCATCGAAAAACGCACGCTCATTGCAATTTATTTTGTTTCTTTACTTAAATCAAAGTGAAATTGAAATTAAACTAATAAAAAAAAACTTAGAACACATAGAAGAGGAAAAAGAAAATTGGCTATTGGTAACTTATTCAAATGTTTTTCTGGTGTTCCCATTTGAGAATCCGTTACTGTTGCCACCACCGCCATAGCCACCGCCGTTGCGTTGTCTATTGCCACCCCAGCTGTTGCCATTGCCGTAACTGTTTCCATTTCGGAAGCCACCGCCATTCGATCGGCCGAAACCGCCGTAACGTCGAGCTTTGTCAAAACTGTTACCGCCACGGCCACGATTGCGATTGGCCATATCCAACAGTTTGGGTTCGATATCTTGTTTGGCTTCGCGCAACACCGCCACTAAATCGCTGGCCTGTCGGGCATTGTTATCTGTGAAGAATGTGTATGATGTTCCCAATGTATCTGATCGACCTGTGCGTCCAATTCGATGAATATAATCTTCTGAGTTGCCTGGATAATCATAATTAACCACGTGTCGAATGCCGTCAACGTCAAGACCTCTAGCTGCAACATCGGTTGCAACCAAAATGTTCGCTTTTCCCATACGGAATTGTCTTAGTACGAAGTCACGTTCTTGCTGTGATTTGTCACCGTGAATCTATATGATGCAGAAACAAAGGAGAAGAAATCGGTGAAAGCAACAATTATTTACCGTTATGAGTCATGTTTGACATAGTTTTCTGTAAATGGTCATGTATTCATAAACAAATCATTACAAACAAAATGGAAATTAAAAAAAAAAACAGATTGGCGAGAAAAAAAACTGGCCATAAAAAAGGAGAAATAAAATTGAGCTTAAAATGTATGGATAGAGAGAGAGAGAGAGATAACGAGAAAAAAAAAATCGATAATCAAACGATGACATATTTACTTACAGCAACACAGTGAACGTTGAAGCTGCGAATGTAACGAGCGACATTTTCAACACGAGCTTTTGTTTCCGCAAATATGATGATTTTGCCTGGTTCTTTGTCACTGTCATAGATTGACTCAAGCAATGTTTGAAGTTTCTCTTCTTTTTCCGAGTCTGCGCAAATGTTAACGATTTGGCGAATATTGTGATTGGCTGCCAATTCCAATGAGCCGATGTTCAATTGAATGTAATCTTCGCCAAGGAAATCAGCTGCCAATCGACGCACTTCCTTTGGCCAAGTGGCTGACCACATCAACACTTGACGATCGGGCCGAATCTGTTCGATAATCTTACGGATTTGCGGCTCGAAACCCATGTCAAGCATACGATCGGCTATTGAATAATAAATTATAATGAAATTAATATCGACCGTCGACCCCAAAAAACGCAAAGTTAGCTACAGAAATTAAGCAAGGGACAAAGTGTTAACAAAAAAAAGAACTTACCTTCATCCAAAACCAAGTATGTGCATCGTTTGAGATTGGTTTGTCCCGATTCCAAGAAATCAATTAAGCGTCCTGGTGTGGCGATAACAATTTCGCAGCCACGTTGCAAGTCACGGGCCTGTGGACCACGGCTTGCGCCACCAAAACAGCATGTATTTCGTACGTGTGATTCCGATCCAAATTCGCCTGCAACTTGTTGGATTTGCTGTGCAAGTTCACGTGTTGGTGCCAACACCAAGGCGATTGGTCCATCGCCACGGCACAAACGTTGTTGATTGTTGATGTGAATGATGGCTGGCAAAATGTACGCTAATGTTTTTCCACTACCAGTCTTAGCGATTCCGACCATATTTGCACCACTCAATGCGATTGGCCAGCCTTGTGCTTGAATCGGGGTTGGTCTTTCGTAACCCTGTCGTCTGATCTCGTTCATCACGTAGTCTGGCATATTAATCTCATCGAAATTAATGATGGGATTTGGTGCACGTCCACGAATCGTAATACTATGCTCGGTACGAAATGCGTCAATGTCCAACGGGGACCGTTGTTGTACGATTGCATTTGGTTTGTAGAAATCCTTTTTAAATGCACTTAATTGAATTGAGCTCCAATTGGGTTGGGTCAGTGGTGAATTTTCACCAACTGTCTTCTTACCACCAAATCGATCGCCACCATTACGTGAACCACCGCCACCGAAGCGTGCTCCTCCGCTGGGCTTGCCTCTGTCATCACCGTGATGACGATGCGCACCAGATTTTTGTTGGAAATTATTTGTTGGAGCACGAACCATGGTTGTCTTTGTGTTTTTGTTTTTTTTTTTTTCACAAATAAACTCAAAATCGAATTGATCGAACGGAAATTGGTGATGAAAAAAATGAAATTTATTGCGTCGTCGACTGTGAAAAAACAAAACACATGCGTTCACACTAATGGCAGCAAACACAAAGAGAACGATTTAATGACAGCATCAAGCATGCCCCTGTGAACAAGAGAAATATTAATGGCACGTGTGGGAAAAAATGAAATTACGTATTACGTAGAGTTCTTTTTTTATGCTTGCATGCGTGCAGGGTTTTTTTTTAATACTTTCACAGCATTTTATATCGTGTTAAATGAAAAATGAAACGATTTTCGATGGTTTTTGAATTAAAAGTCCATTTTGAGCATATTAAAATTTATTTAAAAAATTAATATCAATAAAAATGCTCACTTTCAACCAGTTCTTTTGATTTTTTCCTCGAACAGACTTGTTTCGAAACTGAATGTGTGAATCGGTCTTAATGAAGACATGTATACATAACCTAAACTCAGAGCACCAATTCATAAATAACAACATTGTCAATGTGATTTTTAGTTGAATAGTAACGGAATGGCCACGAATTTAGAAGTTATTGTCGGTACATATGAGCAATTTTTGCTCGGTTATAAAGTTGAACAGGTATTTTCTGCCATGTCCACTGGAATCAATTGCCATTTTTATTATTTGTTTGTATTTCTTCAGGATGGCGATGATAAATATTCGATGCATCAGTCCTTCGCTGTGCATGCACACATTGCCTCAATCCGAACGGTTCACGCGAAAGGGAAATATTTAGCATCAGGCGGTGCTGATGATCGAGTCTATGTGTATGATATGAAGAAACGGCAGGAGATTCAGGTTTTTATTGCAACATCAACATATCAAATTATCATAACATTACCTGTTTCAATTTTAATTGATTTAGTTACTCACAACACACAATGCCATGATCAACCACATTCGTTTTACACCAGATGCAACCCATTTGTTCACAGCAAGTTCTGATGGTTCGCTGGCAGCAACACGAACCGGCTCATGGATTTCGGAGGGAAAATGGAAGGCACCGCACAATGGCAAAGCGATTACCCAAATTTCGATTCATCCCAGCGGAAAGCTAGCGTTGACCTTAGGCGCTGATTTAACACTGAAAACGTGGAATTTAGTTAAAGGGAGACAAGTATGTTTTATTCTACTAAAGTAATGAGTCACAAAATTGAATTGCTGGATATTGATACTTGGAACTGGATGTGTTTGCTTCAATTTCGATCAGATCAAAATCGTTTCCACATTCATTCGTTCAAATTCAAAATTCAAAAAGAACGTTGACTTCATCCCAACCCTATATATGTCTACTTCCAACTCCATTTCAACATGAATTTCCTTATTTTCATAGATTTTCACAACGAATCTAAAGAGCAAATCAAAATTGGGATACAATATTGAGTTCGTTGAATTTGGCCCATCCGGTGATAACTTCGTATTATCTGGCGCACAAGCGGTCGAAGTGTGGAGTATCGAAAAAGCGGGTGTTATCAAAACAATTCCATGTGAATCGAAACCAACATCATTGTGTTGGCTGGACGAAAACAACCTTTTGATAGGATTGAACGATGGCAAATTAGTTTGGGATCATTTGGAGAAAGATGAGGTAAAATATGAGTTTGAATGTTCAGTTTTTTTTTCTAAAAAATGGAGTACAATTTTTCAAATTTAACATAAAATTTCAGCACAAAAAGGTTTAATCGTATTATTTGATTTCAGCCCGTTACATTTCAAATGTATGAAAATCGTGTGAAAGGACTTCATTACCAAAATGATCATCTTGCCTCCATTTCAAGCAACGGTGACATCACCGTGTGGACAGTGAATATTGACGAGCAAAAGATTACCGAACTCTGTACAACGAACATTGGATGCCGACCAATTTGTTTGACCATAATAAATCTGGAAGATTTCGCTGATGAGTATGTTTTAAAGAGAGAAAGTTCAGACGATGAGACGGTTGAAGGAACCATTGCTCGCAAAAATAATGTTAATTCATCAAAAAAAGTGGGCAAAGTTGTAATAGAAAAAGAGGATGATGATGATGATGATGGCAGGAATAAGTACGAAACGCCAGCAAAGCGACAGAAGTCGAAAGATAAAACACCGAAAAATACACCACAGAATACACCGAAAAATAAGGTAGATGAGCAATATCAAAGTGAAGCTAAATTTCGGAAAAGAAATTGAAAATTATCTCAAAGATATTCATGAATACAAATAATTCATTCGAATTTGTCTCTTTTCAGCCCAAGACACCAAAAGGTAAAACTCCAAATGGAAAAACTCCCAATGCTAAACCAGCCAAGCCTAGCCAAGTCGTCGAAGAGTCGACTCCAGTGGCGATGAAAAATAAGCGAAAAAGTCTGTCAAGTGAGCAGCCGATGTCAGCAAAGAAATCCAAATTGAAGCGTGCATCAATTTCGAATGTGAAAAACAGAAGCGGTTTTATCGAAGAGGACATGTAATCTAACGCAGAAATACTGTTGATAACTTTGAAGAAATAATAAAAACCATCAAAACATTTTACAAAAATTTCGTTTAATTTTCTACGATTGTAAACAAGTAACATATAACTTTAATTAGTTTAACCAGAGCGTAACATTTTCGCTTCTCGTTCCTCTTCTAGAGCTGCTTTCTGTTGTGCAATGATAATCTTACGTTCGGCCAGAAACTTTGCATATTCGTTTGGGTCCAAATTGCGAACGATTTGCACTCCACAGGATCGTGCGACACCGACTAACATTTCACACATTTGTTTATGGGTCAGCAGAGCATTTGGTGGATCTTGGAGTTTGATTTTGGCTATTTCATACAAATGTCGAAGCGTGATTTTGCCAGCAATCTCATGTCCAGGCTTCACTGCGCCCAAATCAATTCCAGCCGCTTGCTTAATGAAATATGAGGCTGGTGGCTGGTGAATATCCAAATCGAATAATTTATCTGTTGTTGCTTTGGCGCGAATCGGTAACGGGAGGCCTTTTTTAATTTTCGACGTTTTTTCGTTGAATTCCTTGCAAAAGTTTGCAATATTTATACTACGTTGACCCAACATCGGACCGAGTGGTGGTGCAGAAGTTGCCATTCCAGCTGGCACATATGTTTGCAAACGACTCGTGTGCTGAACATTTTCCTGCATCTTTTTCAATGCACGAAGACGACTCGATATTTTCAACGGCATTTTTAATTTATTTCAAAAATTTATTCACGATAAAATAATTGGTTGGTAACGAGTTTAGCAAAGAAAGAAAATAGAGGAAACGCTTAGGTTATGAAACGAGCTCACCACACCAACTGTCAAAATATCTCCAGTTGCACAAACGTTTCAGCGCAACTTCACGGCAATCGTTACGTCAATATTTACAAATTTATACGAAAACAATTGCGAGAAAATCTAACAAAATTCGCCAACAAAGGGAAAATTTACATTTGCGTCGAAGTACCATCGAATATTTTTCACCAATTTCCCAACAAATTGACGAGAAAATTGCAGAAGTGCAATCAATAGTTAAAATTGGAACGAGAAAATTTCGCAATTCACTAAAATAATTCTGAAGTGATAAAAACATACAAACAAAATGAGCCACCATGCATCAACTTCCAACAATAATGACAAAGCGGAACCGATCACAAAAGAAGAATGGCAATCGCGTCTCGAAAGTTTCGAGTTTAAGCAGGCGGACATGAATAAATTGATCATGAACTATTTGGTCACTGGTAAGTGAAATGCACTATTTTTTTTGCTGCAGAATTCCATTTTGAGTGTAGAGAGTATACTCAACTTTTGCGTTCTTCCATTTTATATAGAGGGATTCAAAGAGGCCGCTGAAAAATTTCAAGCTGAGGCTGGTGTCGAGCCATCAGTTCCATTGAATACGCTTGACAATCGAATTTTGATTCGTGAAGCCGTCCAAAGCGGTCGCATTCAAGAAGCCACACATTTGGTCAACAAACTCCATCCATGGTTACTGGACAATGATCGTTACTTATACTTTCACTTGCAACAGTTGCACTTGATTGAATTGATCAGGTTGGTAGTTCATTTCGATATGTATCAATTTTTCATTTTTTTTTTCCTGCAGTTCATCGAAATGTGTTTGCTGCCTTAAAAAAAAACCATTAAACGTCTCTGATGCAAAATTAATTGCAATTTTTTTTCCATCATTTTGTCACCCTAACTGTCAAAATGTATAACCACAAATTTCTCCTACTCCACAGAAATGGCAAGATCGAAGAAGCGCTACAATTTGCCCAAACCCAAATGTCTGAAGCCGGTGAAAAGAATTCCGAGGTACGAAGCGAATTGGAACGAACATTGGCACTGCTTGCCTTTGAAAAGCCACAAAACAGTCCATTCGCCGATCTGTTGGAGCAATCACATCGCCAAAAGGTGGCCAGTGAATTAAATGCAGCTATTTTGAAGACACAACACTGTGAAAACACCAGTCCTCGAATCATCAATTTGCTAAAATTGATCTTATGGGCACAGAATGAGCTCGATAAGAAAAACATTACCTACCCGAAGATGACTGAATTGGCCACAGCAACCATTGAGCAAAAGAATGTCGAATATATTTGAATTGTTCAGGATTAGTTTTATATTTATTTCGTACGATTACAAATTTTAAAATTAAGACCAACCAAAAGCCAAACGAGAAACCGAAATGAAGAACGATATATTTCGACCCCATAAAAAACGGAGAGAATGGATTCTTAATTATGGACATTTTTTGAGTTAGAAAAATAAAATATTTTCGGTATATTTGTCATCAATTTTTCCCTACTTCAAACATTAACCAAATCGATTTGCAATGGATCATAATGGTACAGAATATGACACTCAACCAATAAAACTGAGAATAAATTGAAAATTAAATCAAATCTGATCAACAGCTGTTTAATATTCACAAGTATCAGATAATAAATAGTCAGCTACCGTGTCGATTTCATTATCAATTTTGCAAATACTTGAAAGAGAGACGTATCGACGACACCTATAGATTTCCATCCGTATCTACGCCGTCGATATTTTCTATATTGCATATATATATTGAGTTGTATTCCAGTTTATTAATATTCCGAATTCAGTAACCTTCACCTTGAGTCGCTGGCCTTGTCATTGATTTGAAGGTAACGAATGGCCGCCCGTGATTCAAAGCATCAACGTATGACCTTGCATGGGGTTTTAAGTAGTTTTTTCTCTATTTTATCAAAATGCTAGAATTGAAATTGAGTTAAATCATCGGAATGCACTCAGAAATGCATCATCAACAGATGCAGAGGCATAATTTGAGTTAAAAGTTGCATGTTATCGCTAATCATGACGAAACTGGTATTATTCGTCGCTATTCAAGGTTGTCAATCATTTTGAATAGTGTACAACTAACCTACTGAAGTTTTGACGTTTCCGAGTGACATTTGCTCTATGCGTTCTACTATTCACTTCAACTTCACATATTATCATATCAACGGCATACGGCATTGTTTCATTCGGTCTGTAGCGGACTTGTTTTTTCTAATTACAACTTGAACAAATCAACGTGAAACGAAAATCATGGCATTCGTAAATAAATTGACAATGTTAAAAAATCTAACGAGCCAAGCAAGTGAACCGTGTGACATAATCAATAAGAAGAACATTTGATAACCGTACTTTTGCTCTGTTTTTTTTAGGTAACAAGAGTCGGCTCACAAGCAAAATTACTTCACACTGGTAAGCTCCAATTTTCGATGTTTCTGCTCATGTTTATCCAAATTTTTGTTACAAATTTCTCAATTATGTTATTTTCAAATGTAAAATGTTCTATTTTCGAATAAATCAGGCGTTCGGCTATGCACTGCTGACGTTCAGAAACCGGCACCGGATTTCAAGGGGACAGCTGTCGTACAAAAAGACTTTAAGACCATTCAATTGTCTGATTATAAAGGCAAATACTTGGTCCTCTTTTTCTATCCACTTGATTTGTTTGTATCTTTTTCTTCTCTATGACTTCATTCATTTGAAATTTTCTGCGATGAATTAATGTGTTTTAATTTGTGTTTCTTTGCAGTACGTTCGTGTGCCCGACGGAGATTATCGCATTCAGTGACCGTATCAAAGAATTCGAAGCATTGAACACAAACGTTGTTGGTGTTTCAGTAGATTCACATTTCAGCCATTTGGCATGGATCAATACACCGAGAAAGGCCGGCGGCTTAGGTGATTTACAATACCCACTGTTGGCCGATATCACAAAGAAAATCTCCATCGACTATGATGTTTTGATCAAAGAAGAAGGAATCGCTTTGCGTGGTCTGTATATTATCGATCCAAACGGTGTGATCCGTCAGAAGACAGTCAATGATCTGCCAGTCGGACGTTCAGTTGATGAAACATTGAGATTGATTGAAGCTATTCAGCATTTTGAAAAGCATGGCGAAGGTGCATTTTTCAAATCATTTTCTAAGATGAATCAGCATATCCACGAAAATGTTTTCAACTTCTATTTTACCAATTTTATTTAACCATAATTTTGTGTGTCCATTTTTTCTTTCCTATAGTTTGCCCAGCCAACTGGAGCCGTGACAAGAATCCAGCTACAATCAAACCAAGTGTAAAGGAGTCGCAAGAGTATTTCAGCAAACAACATTCTTAATTTATGAAAGTGTACATTTTTGATACCATCCCAAAGGAAAGCCACGATGATGCCTCGATTTGAACCAATAAAACCATAGAAAATGTTAGAAACAAGTTTTGTTCTTTCTTTTATTATTATTATCATTAAAATGTCAAATAACATTGAATCCTTTGCTTTACAAGTGCTTTTTCTTTCGATCGATTGCATTGAGTTCACCTTGTTGAATTGACGCTTCGGAGAAGATACGTTTGACTTTATCTCTGCGTTCAACATCACTATAAGAAAAAGAAAAGGAAAATGTTGATTAGAATTTAATTCGGAGATAATAAAAAAAATTGGACATAAAATTGAACATTCAGAGCTCAATACTCTTGAAATCATTGCGACATACCTTTGTAGTCTTCTCTTAAGTTGAACCTTAGCCAAGAATGCGTTATCACGTCGAATTTCACGCACAGCGCCCTTAGTTTCCTTCTTAATTTTCCGTTGCAGTCCCTTGCGAACGGCTGCATTGCCAGCATTCTTGCTACGATCTCTCCGATCATCGTAGACACGTTCATATTTCGGTTCGAGTTGTCGAAGTGTTTTGGGCCGTTTCAGTTCGGGTACTAGATAGGTCAATGGTTCGCTATTTATTCTATCAATAACCTTTAGCAAGGCTGAAACATTCTCTTTGCATTTCTCTGGATAGTGTTTCAAATCGATTTTATCCAAATATTTGGAGAATGGTTCGGCTAAAAATTGCAAGCCACAATTGTCCAAATTCGAAAGGATCTGTTTCGTTAGCAGAACAGCCGTGTTAAATGCCCGCACTTTGAATGAATTATCTATTTCCACTTTGGTTAAATCTATGGCCATAAGACGACTCTCTTCATCGAAAGCGGTTTGTTTTTTCAGTACTAAAAGTGAACTCAATTCGCCGACCGACTTAAATGGCGGCACAACTTTCATTTGATGGACGCTTCGTTTTCTAATGCCTAAATACAAAACACCTGCCAAAAAATTGAGCGCCGCCGGAAGGTATCGTTTGGACAATTGTGTGTATTCTAATAAAACCGTTACTAAAAACAACCCCGAACTGATGTCTGAGCGATTGGACACACGAGAACGGGTTAGAATTTGACTTATAAAAATCACACAAGGCGATGCAATTCCATGCCGAAAATCGGATACCGAATACAAACTGGAGACAATTTTCAAAAACACCAACGTGTCTAGTTTGGGGAATTCTTTTGAGTTTCTGAATTCGGATTGTTTTTCCTTAATCACTTCCAAGAAGCATTTTGTTGTTTCGGCCGGCACTATGTGGCTTATATCGTACAAAAATGGTAATATTCGATCTAAAACAGTGAAACAATGAACTGGATCACTGTCAGATGCCAAATCGTTGATGTATTGCAATAAGAAAGCGAATAAGGAAACCATTCGTTCACGGTTTGCCGGTTCGAGTTTTGGATGATTGCATTTGATCATTCGCTCTAAAATTACGGCTTGATAGTCGGCACTGTATTTTTTCAGCTGTTTGTCTAAGTCATTGTATTTTTGAGGCAATTCGAATGTGTACGGCAACTCTTTTTTCGCCTTTTCCATCATCGCTTTTCGCTCATCATCGGTTAGTACTTTGACTTTGGCACTTTTCTTTGTATCGGATGGAGCAGCCTTTTTGGTGACACTTTTCTTAAGACTAGCATCTTTGGACTTATTCAATTCTGGTTCGGAGTCACTCTCATAAACCAAGTCACTGAATGCATCTCCTTCGCCACTGCTTTCCTCTTCTTCACCCTCCACGTCGGAATCCTCCTCAGAGCCTTCCTCAGAATTACCGTCTTCTTCGTCACCGTTTTCAACGTTTCCATTTTGCGCATTTTTACTCAACGCTATCAATCGATCCAACTCTTCATCGGTATCGTCGTCATCACGATTTGCTTTGCCTACGGCAGAAAATTTATGAAAATATTTCCGATTAATAAGAAACAAGATTGATGTGTTCAAAGAAAGAAACCACTTTTACCATCTTGATTATAAGCCAAAGTTTTTTGCTCTTGAAACGTGGATTCTAAAAAGTATCCGTCATCCAAATCGTCAGCCGAACGATGTTTGGCTTGTTTCTCCTCTTCCGTTAATCCATGCATTCGGTCGATTCGCTCTTTTTCCAGCCGTTCCAATTTTGCCTTCTCTTTTTTCAGTACTTTCTCATCTGTGTCCAGTTTATCGGTAACTGTACCGCGACGATCGAACACCATTTCTTTCAATACCTTATCAAAATCGTCCGGTTTTGGTGCATCTGCATTTTGATCCTTTTGCAAACTCATCAGCGGCACTAAGTCCTTCCAATTGGCATCCAATTTATGTGTTAGATTCGAAACGACTTCCTTCTCTATCGATATTTCGGCTTTACGACGCTTTTGATCGGCAATCAAGTCTTCAATGGCATTTTTACGTTTGCCATCTGTATCACCTACGCCTTTGCCACCGAAATGCGCAGCGCCCGTGAATTCAGCGTCCAATTTGCCAATTTCATCATCATCATCATCGTCGGATATTGTGTCATGAAACTGTTCCACTTCCTCCAATGTTTGACCTTTGTGCGTGAGCACTTCCTCATTTTCATTCAAATTAAACTTCGATTGCTTCTTTTTCGTCTTGAACTGTTCAAGTCGTTCAGCAATGAAACGTGCATTAGCCGCATCTTCTTCGGACATTCCCCTGCGACCGATACGATTATCCTTGAACTTATTGGTTTTATTTTTCTGCAGAAACTCTCGGCCTAGCGTATCCTTTCGTCTTTGTGTGGCCTTTGCACGCGAGATACCCGGCATACCTTTGTCATGTTTCAATTTTCGTCCCAATACCGAAATTTTCTCACGATTTGTATGCAACTCAAATGGATTCAAAGACTTTTTCACATCTTCCACTTTCTTTTTACTGGTGAAAGCTTCCGCTTTACCACCTTTTTTCGATTTAAATTTGCCCATTCCGAATTGATTTCACTCTATTTTGAGGTTATAAACACGTTAATCTAGTTTCAATTCGAATGATTTTTATTATTTATTCCATTGATCAAATGAAACCAATTGAAAATTGAAGAAGTTTCTAATTAAATCGAATGTTTGGGAATTATTTTTAGTTTTTATTGAACAATTATTTTCTGTTTACGAGCATTCAATAACTGTTTCAGCCACTACAAATGATGTATGTGCTGTGTAAATGCTTTAAAAACAAATCCACGTGAGGCAAAACATTGACAGCCAATTCACACAAATGACACTGGAAATGAAACACACTTCCATTCGATCCAATGGATAACCCTGCCACAACACTGCGACTGCTGTAAACATTTGTTTTGTGACTTGAGTGTGTGCGTGCGTCCTATTGTCATTTACACCGGCTAAACGAATCAAATGTGTGCATGTATTGGTGTGCGCTTCTGACAGTCACTACTATGACAAATGCCATGTTGCAATTCAGTGCTTGAGTCTCTTTATCTGTGTTCAGTGACGTGTGGATTGACGAGAAAACATTTTTTTGTTGAAATTTGTGCTAATTTGATTTTTAGCAAAAGACGCAATTGAAAAAAAAATATGAGTAAACATAAGGACAAGGATAAGAATCGTTCGCGTTCACGATCAAAATCCAAAGACAGGGAACGTCGCGAAAAGAAAAAGTAAAATTTTCATTTCTCTTTTTTTTTCTCTCGCTATATGTATACTGTAGCGTGGCAGCCATATTGAATTTAATTGGAAACATTTTGCTAAAAGAATTTTTTTTAAAAATGTATTTAATAGGTCGAAAAAGAGTAAGCGTAGCCGAAGCAGGGAACGAAAACATCGTAGGAGCCGTAGTAGAAGTTATAGCAGAAGTCCAAGCGGTGAACGCAGAAGACATCGTCGCGAAGAGAGATATGAACGCGAAAGAGAACGAGAGGCAAGAGAAATGCGAGAAAAAGAATTGGAAAAGGAACGATTACGGGAAATTGCGTTGGAATTTAAACAATCGGGAGCATTTAGTTCGATATCACAACAGACGCAATCGTTTCAATTACAAGACCATGCATTGAACAACGTTTTATCATCGTTCCCAACATTTAATTCGTTCCCAATGGCCATAGTTCCACCGGTGATAGAGACACCGCAACCGCCGCCAAGAGAAATGAGTCAAGCTTATTTGGAGGCAGTTGAAGCGAGTAAACGTATTGCTGCGTCAAAGAATTTCGTCGATGCATTCAGCTGTTCAAATAGCAACGATTCAACCAGCAACGGAGCTTCATTAAACAATGAAGGATCGTCGAATAGCAGTAAGTTGAAGTCAAAATGCAAAAAAAAAATTGTTTCATTGCAAACAAACAATTTTTTCGCAACCAAAATGTTGAATTTACAATATTGCAATTTTGATTGAATGCTTAAATATTGATGTAAACTTGTATTTCCAGTGAATTTTGTGCTTGGCGGAGAAGCCGAAACAGCCAGACAGCGTAAAAAGCGTTCACGTTGGGGTGGCAGCGAGAATGATAAGACATTTATTCCGGGTATGCCGACTGTTTTGCCGTCATCGCTTGACTCGCACCAACAGGAAGCCTATCTAGGTAATTATAATATTCATGCTATTTTCTTAGTAGATTTTTAAACGAAACTTATTTTATAACATACAAATTCTAATTATAAATATCTCTAATCATGTCCTTTGATTATATAATATTTTGATATTCCACTGGGTTCAGCGAATTTATCTGATGAAATTTTCAGGGCCATAATCGATTCAATTTTGCTTGATTTTAATGCCTCCCCACTAAACCAAACGTTATTTCTAAAAAAAAAAAACTGGTCAACATTTTTGACATTTCAGGATGAATTTTAACATTATTTCTTTATTTTTTTAGTTCGTGCATTTTATCATTTCAAATTCTTCAACTAAATTTCAAATAATTCTTTTTACTCATCTTGCTACAATATTTTTGTGTGAAAAAAAAATCGAAAATATTTTTGTACAAAATGTATCAATCACTTATATTACTTTTTGCGATCAAAACAAAAACGAAATTGCAAAATTCCATAAAATGTTTGTTTCAAAATTAAGCCAATAAATAAAACACGAGTATCGTAAGTATTTGAGGGTATCATCGAAAATCATGGCTGGATTTTCCGTGTAAAAACAAGCGGCTAAAAATTAATCAAATTTTCTGTTGTGTATATTTTGCAGTACGACCGTGTCCGAGTGCAATTCGAATCGAAAATCGTTAGGCTCAAAATATCGAATCAAGCAAACAATCAAACAAACAAATAACGTTATAACATTTATTTTTTCAGTTCCCTTATTGCTTTCTCTCTCTATTTCTCATATGAATTGATTGTGTTCTTTTTTTCTCGTTTACATTTTTTTTCTTCTGAAAAAAAAAACATGAATGTCATTTTATCTATTTATTTAAAACGTTTTTTTTTTGCCGGAAAATGATTTCCGAAATTGTGCATCGTGATAGTATGTCTAATGTCGAGGCTTGCCTCGTTCTTTTTCTTTTTTCTTAACCCGCTTCATTTCAGTTCAACTTCAAATCGAAGAAATCAGCCGCAAACTACGTACCGGAGACTTAGGAATTGCTTCAGTCGAAGAAAGGTTTGACACACATACACACACACACACATACTTTTCCTTCTATTTGGAAGGAACATTGAACACACAAAATTACTGTGATAAAATCGCCTAGTCAAAATGTCGATTAATCAATTTGAATAAATTAGAATTTGATTTAGAGAGAATGAATTTGGAGACGGAACAATGACAATGACGCAAACACCGAGAGCCAGTTGTGAAAATATGTTAATGACAGTGAACAGAAGAAGGAAAAAAAAAGAAAGAAAAACACAAACTAATCTCTATATTTCATTATAAAAGTCAGGTAGATCGGCACGCATCAGTCAGCCGTGTACAGAGAGTCAAACGATGCTCCATGGCTTAGATACATGCAAACCAAGACGTCACGTCAACATTTTTCTCTTTAGGCTGCACCCAACTCAGACCTGATCGAATGACTTCAAATTCAATTCAACTTTCAATACTAATCAAAAACCAACCCGTTTTTTCACAGCGTTTTCAATTTTTTTTACCATTAAAAAAAACAAACTAAAGAATAAATTAGACGTAGTTACAACGCGCATAACGATTCAATAGACGATAGGCGGTTTTATCACATAGCACGTGTTTTGTTCTTGTCTTTCTTTTCAGATCACCGTCCCCGGAGCCTATTTACAGTTCTGATGGTAAGCGAATGAATACACGTGAGTTTCGTACACGCAAACGTTTGGAGGAGCAACGTCACCAATTGATTCTTCGAATGCAATGCATGAATCCGGATTTTAAACCACCGTCGGATTACAAGTAGGCAAATTGTTTTCGTTAAATATTTTATTTTGTTGTATTGTGAAAATTTAGCATGATTCAAATTGAAATTTAGCGCTGGAATTTATTTTAAAACTCGATTTTTTTTTTGTCACATAGAGCCCCCATTGTGCGCGTCAGCGATAAAGTATTAATTCCTCAAGAGGAGCATCCAGACATCAATTTTGTTGGTTTGCTGATCGGACCGCGTGGCAACACTTTGAAGGCGATGGAAAAGGAAACGGGAGCCAAGATCATCATTCGTGGAAAGGGATCGGTGAAAGAGGGAAAAGTCGGCAGAAAAGATGGCCAACCATTGCCGGGTGAAGACGAACCGTTGCATGCATTTATTACAGCGGCCAATGCGGATTGTGTCAAAAAAGCGGTGGAGAAAATCAACGAAGTCATTAAACAAGGAATCGAAGTACCAGAGGGTCACAATGATTTAAGACGTATGCAGTTACGTGAATTAGCTCAGTTGAACGGGACACTGCGTGAAACTGATGTACCGAGATGCACAAACTGTGGCTCAAACGAACATAAGAGTTGGCATTGTACAGACAAGCCTAATGTTACCAACAACATTATGTGTTCATCTTGCGGCGGTGCCGGCCATATTTCAAAGGATTGTAAAGCAAAACGGCCCGGCCAAGGAGGGCCACCGGTTGTGAATGCCAATTCCCAAGCCAAAATCGATGAGGAGTATCTCAGTTTGATGGCTGAACTCGGCGAAGGACCGCCAGCAACCAAAACAAACGATACACCATCACAAAGCAGGTAAGAGATGGGAATAAAATAGATAAAGAAATATATGAAGAATATAAGAAATATGATGAGATAATTGTGAAGAAAATATCCCAAAATTAAAAAAAAAAAATTATCTCAAACAAAATTAATGAAAAAATGATTCTTTATTGCAGCGGTTCGTCAAATCGTAACCAATTTTCGATATTCGAGCGTAATCAAGGTCCTTTAAAAGCAATTCAGCAAGTTCCATCCTCAGCACCAGCATCCAATTCAGCTTCACCAGTCCAGCAACCGCCTCCACGTATGCCACAGCCTCCAAATTGGAATGGACAGCCGGCGATGCCAGTTCCACCATTGCCACCAGGAGGATCATTTGTAAGCGATTTAATTTCATTTTCATTCACAGACTTCAATACGAACAGAAAAATGTATCAAATTGCTAATGAATTCCAAATGACTTTATTCCATAGGCAATGCCTCCACCATCGATGCGACCACCAATGTGGAATAATCAGCCGCAGATTCCAGGCACTGATCTACCACCGGTGCCAAGTTCTACTTCTTGTCCACCACCTTTTGTTCCACCACCGCCGCCTGGAACTTCTGTAAGTATCCCATTTGAGATTGTAGCTTTATGGCTACGATCATTCTTTAACTGAAAGAAAACCTTTGCCGACTTTATCGAATATCCTAACTCATCCGTTTTTTCTTACGCAGAATTGGAGTGCACCGTTGCCTCCACCGGCACAACAGTATCCATGGAGTAATGGTAATTTCGTGCCACCATTACCAGCTGTTCCACCTCCACCACCGCCACCGCCTGGAAGTTAAACGACTAAAATAATGATTTGAATGTTTTTCGATTAAAATTATCTACCAATTAGATAAGAAAATTGTTCGTTTCCAAAATGGAAAGAAGTTCTTTTCAACCACCTAACTAATCTCATTTTAAAAATCGATTGAATTGTCATTGGAATCAGTTGTCTGCATATAATTAGCATTGTATTTATCAAACGATCGGAATAAAGTGAATGAACATGAACAAATTGTGTGTGGTTTTGTTTTATATTCGGCAGATAGTTTGGCGATATATGTTGAAGTAATCACAAGTAAATCGTATTGAAATGACAAAATGTTGCTTTTGTTTAGAATGTTCAAGATTTGGTTTCAAATCAATACAACGTGCCGAACTAATGACGTAAATTTGAAACCGTATTAAAATTGAATGAAACTTAAAGACGATCGACACTTGTCTAAACATTGAGTTTGTGAGCTTATTTGTTGTTACCAATACATTCAAAAACCATTTGAAATAAGAGCAATTGGATGAATTTCCATTCAATTTGATTCCATAAAATACTGAAACAGACTTGCAAAATCGTTGTTCCAACAGGGACGAATTCCAGTTTTTGGCTTTTCTCATAGTTTCTCAACACGTCTCAGATTTTCACTCTGTAAGCATTGGAAGGTATAGCCCATTTGAAAATGAGCATAGAGGCTGGTGTTCAGAATCGTGAACGAGAAGCGTTCAATTTGAAAAAATTGCCCGAATTTATGAGCTTGTGTGTTTATATTTTGAAAAGAAAAATTTGGAGAGTGCAAACAATATTCGTGATTCCAATAATAATGCTTGTGGTTTTGCTGTTAATATTAGTCCATTATGATGCTCGTTTGCGCACATCACTTCGTCACAAAGATTTTCATGAAATACAGGTAATAAAAAGTGGTCATTTTGGTTTTTCTTCGGTTCGATAAGTGTAAATCCACTGTCTGACTATGTTGTCATTTCTTCAGCCAAAAAGATTTCCTAAGTATTATGACGATAGCCTGCGAACCGGATGGAATTTCAAAATAGCCAAACACTACGATGAGAAATTTTTCTTGCGAAAATGGGTCGATCCATTTACATATAAACGGATAAATCGATTGCGTCCTAGACCTGGCGACAATGGATCGGCATTTGTTGTTCCATTTGAAGAATTGAAACCATTGATGATGGAACTGCAGAAGAAACACAATTACAATGTGTTGGCTTCGAACATGATTCCGTTGCGTCGAAATCTACCTGATCTACGTTATTCAGAATGTTTGGATTTGTCCTATCCGGAGCGGCTTCCAACGACAAGTGTCGTTATCATTTTTTACAATGAAGCATTGAATACTCTGATGCAAACTGTTTGGAGTGTTATCGACCGATCGCCACGGCAATTACTTGCGGAGATAATATTAGTTGATGATTTCAGTACGGAAAAAACGTTGAAAGAACCACTGGACAGCCGTATCATACAACTTCCGGTCAATGTGGAAGTCATAAGGAATGAGAAGAGAGAAGGTCTGATACGCTCCAGGTTGATTGGCGCCAAAGAAGCTATTCTTGGACTCACACACCGAGTGTACTGATGGGTGGCTACATCCGATTCTCGCTCGCATCGCTTCTGATCGTTCATAAATTGAGTGGCAATCAGTTTTTTGCATATGCAAAAATTGGTCAAATTATCACTGTCGAAGAACTTTGCGTCGGTATTTCGACCAACAGAAATGTCGTTGTTCTAGTTGAAAGTTCCGAGCAAGACCCAACACAGTTATGGACATATTACGAAAACGTAAGTGAAATATTGGAATTTAAAATCGATGTCTTTACTACTATTCAAACCAAGACGCGATAAAACTGTCAACTGTTGAAGTATGAAGAAAATTGAACTCATATTTGAATGATAAATGAATAAATTGTGAAAAATTCAACATCTGTTTTTAATTTATTTTTTATCTCATATTTCTTAAACATTTAAATGCGAAATAAATTTTAAATATGAAATACAAATTTGTCAAGCGAAGAATTGTTAGGGAAATTCGATTTCAATAATTGGTCAATTCCTGGTAGGGATCGTCGTGGCTTATGTTGTTTTCATAAGCAAGGAGCAACCTCGATTCATGGATTTTAATTTTGTCAAAATATTCAATATCTTTCGGCAGATGCACGTAAACATTTAAATATGCGTACCCCCTGAAAAAAAAAGAAAATTATACGCATTAATAATCTCGGCATGTACGTGCACTACGTGATAGTGACGTTCACCAATCATTTCCACTATTTTTACGAATATCCAGCAGTTTAATCTGATGCCTTCTTCTGGTTCAGCAGCTGGTGATTCAACCGAAACAGTGTGGGTTCTAGGGTCTATATTGGTATTTAAATGTACTATTTGTCTAAACGCCTAGCTGTACAACTGAACTCAGAACATTTTTCGTTCAATCTTCAATTTTTGAGTGTGGCATACACTTACATCTCAGCGCAGCGCATAATGTCACTAGTGCTACTGCCAATAATAATCTATTTGGCGACATCATCTTAATTTCATTCGATTATACTGAATTCATTTTTATTATAGAACGTTTTATATACTCTCGCGAACCAACGAATTTTGCATAAAGAACCGCATAATACAAAAATGCAATTGTATATTTTTTGGTATGTTGAGCGTGATAAGATTAGATGTATAGTACGTGCTTGTTGCATTTTTTTTTTGAAATCACATATAACATCGATAGGTAAAATTCTTCAACAAAACGTGAAAAAAAAAGAGTTTATGGCAAATGATACCGATACTGTAATGCGGGTTGAGCACGCACAATAACAACTACACACTAAACTTATGAACGAATTCAATTTTTTCAGATTTAGACAACAATAGATTGTCGAAAAGAAAAAGAAAAAGAAAAAGAAGAATCTAGATATCAAATAATAGTGAATAATTCTTTGCCATCAACAGCTGAGCGATACATTGCTTTCATTCATATGGCGCAAATTCAAATATGCAGAATCAGCAAAGATCGTAAAATAACCTTTAACATATATGCAAACAAGCACGTCATTGCAGTCAAACGTTTTACACGTTTTTCTTTCTTTTTCTTTTATGCTCTGTTTCAATACGGTCTAGATTGATTGGCGCGAGAAATGAAAGTTGAAATGAGATATTTTATATATATAAAATACCGAAAAACTTTCTCTTAGCCAGAACATTCATTTTGTAAGTGTCTTTTGGTGTTTCATTTTGTTATCTATCTAATTGTTCTTATTTTAAATACTTTAATATATTGGCAAGAAGTTCTTGCCAAGAACGTATTTCAACACTAAAACTCATAGGTTCTGACACCAAAAAATTCAGGGGGGGTCAAACCAAAAATTCAAGGGGGGGTCAAAAAAATCAATTCTATCTAGTGTAAATTTCTTCCCGAAAAAAATTGCTGCCCGGGGGGGGGGGGGGTGACCCCCAATTTCAAATTTAAAGAGCAAAAAAAAAAAAAAGGTCCTCACTTTCGAAAATCGATTCTATCTAGTGTAAAACCGGTATCCAGAAAAAAGTGAGGTCTAAAACAACAAAAAAGGTCCGAAAATGTCAACGGGTCCAAAAAAATCGTTGGGGGTCAAATTTTTCCAGGGGGGGTCAGGATCAACGAGATCAGACTATGTCAGAACCTATGCTAAAACTCAATATGTTTACATAAGTGTTAAATAGTTTTGAAGTAATTCTTGGACATTTCGACACGATTAAGTGTGCTTACTTCAATAAACACCGCCAGTTAGTAATATTGTCATTGCTAATGAAGCTAATGAACTATGCTGAAAAATAAGAATCGATGTTTTGGTAACATTACTATTCGAGTTTATCTGCACACTTTTCAATTTAAAAATTTGAACTACAAGCAAAAAACACACGAACAATTGTTCAAGTTCGTTCAATTTTATTCCGATTGTTTGATAAATACAAAAACTAATTATATACAGAAATCGATTTTATTGGAGTTTTGAGTGGTGTAAAACATATATTTTTTATAATTATGGTGATTTACTGCATGCAGATAACATTCAATGGAAATTTAACAAAGTAAACCAATTTCGTTGACATTTGTTACATTTGAAAACTAGCAGATTTTAACTTGATCATTTTAGGAATAAATACGCTGATGCATCAACTAGATCTTTATTCACTTGCTGTATGACCGTAACGTTCCAGATGTATCCACCAATTGTATATGGCTGATGTTTCCCATTCATTTCCATATTTGGCTGGTACTTGCCATTCATCTCCCAAGCGTTCTCGTAATTCATCACGCCATTTTCTGGTAGATTCTGATGTTCGTATAACAAATTTTTCAAGTAATTTGAAACTGGATACTAAACGCACAACATCATCAACTGACATCAATTCCAAATAATCAATTTCAATTTCCGTTAGTGATGGTATTACGTTCATTAGTCGTGAGACGTCAATAATGGAAGTGAATGATCTATTTTGATGACTCCTGAAACTTAACGCCTTAATGGTAGGATGTTGGTAAATGAAGTTATAAACATTTTCAGTCACATCATCATCCATACGAAAAAATTCCAGCTGATTAAACAAAAATGGATAGCTTAAATTTTGACCAAAATGTTCGAATCTTTTGATGCTGTTCAAATGAATTTTGTCGCCAGTGAAATTAGAAAATGATGCAAAGCTGCTGAACAATACAAGTTCTTCAAGGTTTTTCATTGGTTCGATTATATCACGAAATGTATCTAAACCAAAAAAATATTCTCTGTCGGTGCCAGTTACTCGTCCAGCAAGATATAGTCTTTTCAATTGTGGATTCAAACGTAAAACGGATGCCATGTGCTCCTTTGTTGAGTCTAATAAAATTTCTACGCGACAATTAAACTTGAATCGTTCTAGATGAGGAAAATGATCCACCACACAACCAATATTATGTATGGCCATTTCATTATGATTTCCGTTACATTTGAAATATTTTACATTCGGAAAAATTCTTCCAAGCCATCCAGTTTCGAGTAAATAGCTCCTAGCGAATACCACTCTTTGAACTTTTGTAAATTTCTTTGTGAGTGGTTTAAGTTCATCTTTTACAACATTATAAAACTCGAACATGACTAACGACTCGGCACAATATTCATTGAGGTAAGTAAGCACTTGTTCACCGAATCTAAGCAAAATATTTCTATACCACACATATTTGATGAAGCGACCAAAACAGCGCAAAATTTGTAGTGAATTTCTCAAATCTCCAACAGATAGTCCACAGATTGGGTCAAATCTAATACATCGGACATATCTTTCGTCAACATCAAAACTTACGGTCATTTCACTATAATTTCGAAAGTAAACAGACTGAGCCGCTTTACGCAGTCTTATATTTGCATTGGCCACATTCACAAGAGCACTTAATCCCAAATACTCAAAACATTCTTCGAGACAAACGAGATTCATATCTGTAATTTTCATTTTGGCAATGGTACCTATGAAGAAAATTAGAAGTAAATTAATTCAGTAGATTTGAATTTTGAACATTTTGTTAAATTGAATCGATTAAACGAGAAAAAAAAACGTTTAATAGTACGTGAAAGGAAATCCATCTAAATTAAATTTAATCAAAGTAGCATAAAATATTGAACACTAACCTTTTCTTTATGAACACAATCAATTTTTGTCGACTTCTTCGATTTTTTTACAAGTTTATGTTACTTTCGTTAAATTGAAATCAAATAAATTAGTCTTATTTGCAAAAAAAAACAAGCTGTGACCTCGACGGCTACGACTCAACTGATTTCAATGTCGAATATTTCGGCCTTCGTTTTACTATAAGTCATTAGAAGAAAGTAAATTAGGCATTTTTTTGAGCAACGTTACCTCTAATGAATTTATTTTATGTATTTTTGTCCAGTTTGACTGAGTGGTGGTCATAATGCCCCGGACGGACAGCAGCAATCTCTAATGGATATAAACACAGCATATTGTCCGTCTGGGTCGTTATGACCGCCTCTCGTTTGACTATATGAATGGTTTGGAGCGAAAATGCAATACAGAAAAGTTGAGCGAAAAAATGTCGAATGAAAAGGGATAGCTATATAACACATCGGTCAATAAGTCCCGAGCCTAAGTAGGAAAACAACATTTTTTTGCCAAAATTCAATTTTATTCATCAACATAGTCCCCTTTTAGAGTGATACAATCATTCCAACGCCTTTCTAGCTTTTCGATACCAGTTTTGTAGAACGATTTGTCCTTGGCCTCAAAATAGGCTTCAGTTTCGGCAATCACCTCCTCATTCGAGCCATATCTTTTTCCCTGGAGCATTTTTCTGAGATCGGCAAAAAGCCAGTAGTCACTGGGGGCCAGATCTGGAGAATAAGCCGGGTGGGGAAGCAATTCAAAGCCCAATTCATGCAGTTTGGCCATCGTAACCATCGACTTGTGACACGGTGCATTGTCTTGGTGAAAGAGCACTTTTTTCCTTGCCATATGAGGCCTTTTTTTGGCGATTTCCTTCTTCAAACGCGTTAGCAATGCTATGTAATATTCACTATTGATGGTTCTTCCCTTTTCAAGATAGTCGATGAATATTATTCCGTGCGCATCCCAAAATACTGAGGCCATAACCTTGCCAGCTGACTTTTGTGTTTTTGGGCGCTTTGGTCGACTTCCACCGGCTTCTGTCCATTCAGCTGACTGCCGATTTGACTCCGGAGTGAAATGGTGGACCCAGGTTTCGTCCATGGTCACATAACGACGCAGAAACTCGTTCGGATTGCGCTTAAAAATGGTCAAACAGCTCTCCGAATCATCGACACGATTTTGTTTTTGTTCCGGTGTCAACAAACGCGGCACCCATTTCGAACACAGCTTTCTCATGCCCAAATGATCATGCAAAATTGTGTACACACTGCCTTTTGATATCTTTAGGATGTCAGCTATCTCCTGCAATTTCAGTTTGCGGTCGGCCATAATCATTTTGTTGATTTTTGTGATGTTTTCTGGAATAACTGCCTCATTTGGCCTACCAGAGCGTTCAGCATCATCGGTGTCCGTACGACCACGTTTGAAATCGGCAAACCATCGTTTGATGGTTGCAATTGATGGAGCAGAGCCCGGGTAACACTTTTGAAGCCATTCCTCAGCCTGAACGGTATTTTTACCCATTAAATAGCAATGATAAATCAACACACGAAATTGCTTTGAATCCATTGTTTTGAAAATTACAAAAGTAGCGTCACTTAAACCACTGTAACTAGGTAAATAATAGTCCAAATGTCATGAAATTTTGACAGTAATCTTTTGAAGGTTGGTACTTTCGAAAAATCATGTGGATATTTCATTAGTGGCGCCATACGGTGGTTAGGCTCGGGACTTATTGACCGATGTGTTAGTTCACTATAGTTTACTATACAGTTTACTGTATAGCTATCCCTTTTCCGCTCATTCATCCTCCAAACCATTCATATGAACCACATAGTATGTTTTCCTGCGTTTCACATGTTCTGCATATATATAATTATCCTGAAGTTCTTTCATTTAATTTTCTAATGACTCTCCAATTTAAATCATACAATGTGACATTCAGGTACTTTTGCAACAAGCTATTTGTTGCTGCTTTGAACGAAGAGACACCACCAGATAATTGCAGGTGTTACTCGAATAACTGAAGAAAATTTTCCATACATGATTCTAAACACATTCAAAAATAAAACAAACGTCGAAAAATAATTCAATTTCAACTGACACAACATTTTATTGATTTTCTTTAATTTACTTTTGAACCAATTCCATTTCAATTTATTTCGAAAATGCTGGAAATAATTTATCGGTCCGCTTAAATATTTAGTATATTTCCAACGAGTCAAATCATTGAATTCAATTTAATTGGATTCAAACAATAGGATTTTTTTTTCAATTGAATTTGAAATTTTCTCACTTTTCTAACAATCAAATTGATTCGAAATACTTAACAAAAGAATCGTTTAAAAGTCGAGAGTTTGAACAAGTGGATAGATCTAATTGTCCAAATTCGAAAGGACGTGTTTCGTTAGCAGAACAGCCGTGTTAAATGCCCGCACTTTGAATGAATTATCTATTTCCACTTTGGTTAAATCTATGGTCATAAGTAAACGATCGGAATAAAGGGAATGAACATGAAAAAATTGTGTGTGGTTTTGTTTTATATTTGGCAGATAGTTTGGCGATATATGTTGAAGTAATCACAAGTAAATCGTATTGAATTGACAAAATGTTGCTTTTGTTTAGAATGTTCAAGATTTGGTTTCAAATCAATACAATGTGCCGAACTAATGACGTAAATTTGAAACCGTATTAAAATTGAATGAAACTTAAAGACGATCGACACTTGTCTAAATATTGAGTTTGTGAGCTTATTTGTTGTTACCAATACATTCAAAAACCATTTGAAATAAGAGCAATTGGATGAATTTCCATTCAATTTGATTCCATAAAATACTGAAACAGACTTGCAAAATCGTTGTTCCAACAGGGACGAATTCCAGTTTTTGGCTTTTCTCATAGTTTCTCAACACGTCTCAGATTTTCACTCTGTAAGCATTGGAAGGTTGAAAATGAGCATAGAGGCTGGTGTTCAGAATCGTGAACGAGAAGCGTTCAATTTGAAAAAATTACCCGAATTTATAAGCTTGTGTGTTTATATTTTGAAAAGAAAAATTTGGAGAGTGCAAACAATATTTGTGATTCCAATAATAATGCTTGTGGTTTTGCTGTTAATATTAGTCCATTATGATGCTCGTTTGCGCACATCACTTCGTCACAAAGATTTTCATGAAATACAGGTAATAAAAAGTGGTCATTTTGGTTTTTCTTCGGTTCGATAAGTGTAAATCAACTGTCTGACTATGTTGTCATTTCTTTAGCCGAAAAGATTTCTCAAGTATTATGACGATGACCTGCGAACCGAATGGAATTTCAAAATAGCCAAACATTACGATGAGAAATTTTCCCTGCGAAAATGGGTCGATCCATTTACATATAAACGGATAAATCGATTGCGTCCTAGACCTGGCGACAATGGATCGGCATTTGTTGTTCCATTTAAAGAATTGAAACCATTGATGATGGAACTGCAGAAGAAACACAATTACAATGTGTTGGCTTCGAACATGATTCCGTTGCGTCGAAATCTACCTGATCTACGTTATTCAGAATGTTTGGATTTGTCCTATCCGGAGCGGCTTCCAACGACAAGTGTCGTTATCATTTTTTACAATGAAGCATTGAATACTTTGATGCGTACTGTTTGGAGTGTTATCGACCGATCGCCACGGCAATTACTTGCGGAGATAATATTGGTTGATGATTTCAGTACGGAAAGAACGTTGAAAGAACCACTGGACAGCCGTGTCATACAACTTCCGGTCAATGTGAAAGTCATAAGGAATAAAAAGAGAGAAGGTCTGATACGCTCCAGGTTGATTGGCGCCAAAGAAGCTAAAGTGTGGTTTTCTATTTTCTGGAAATTAGATAGTCTTTCAACTGATGTGATACATATTTGGCAATTTTTGTCATTTTAGGGAGAAGTGTTAACATTCTTGGACTCACACATCGAGTGTACTGATGGGTGGCTACATCCGATTCTCGCTCGAATCGCTTCTGATCGTTCAGTAGTGGCAGTTCCAGTCATCGATCGAATATCAGCATTAGACATGTCTTACGGTACTTATGCCGACTTTTTTGCCATAAATGGATTTCGTTGGCACTTAATATTCAGCAAGTAAATATTTGCACATTTTAAAGCGAAAAACACACCATTAACCAATCATTATTATTTCATTTGCCACATTTTTATCATTTTCGAAGTATGAGCATTCCACAAAGAGAACAAATCCGCACCAATTACGATAGAACAGCGCCATTACGAACGCCAACTCACATCGGATGTGCCTTTTCAATCGATCGAGAATTTTTCTATGAGATTGGTTCATTTGACCATCAAATGGACATTTGGGGTTCGGAAAATTTAGAAAGTGCACTCCGAGTAAGAATTTGACGTGACATATCATAAGCCACAAATGATATTACATGAAAAAAAAGAAATAAGATTTATTTTCCACTTGTCTCCTCCATACACTTTATTAAAATTTGATCAATACAATTCATGTAATTAGATATGGCAGTGCGGTGGTTCACTGGAACTAATTCCGTGTTCTCGTATCGGCCATTTGTTTCGAATCTCAAATTATGGCTTTGATGGTGATGCTTCCACAATTAAGGCACGGAATAACGTAAGACTTGTCGAGGTTTGGATGGACGAAAAATACAAAAATCTTTTTTATGCCGCCAATCCGAGTGAGATCTCGTACTAAGTTGATACTAACTCAATTAAATCTTTCAATTTTTCTTACAATTTTTAAATTCCCAATCGAAGTCATTGAATTTACTAAGCCTTTCAATTTTGTTTTAGAATCAAAAGATGTTTTACCAGGAGATTTGTCAGAGCGAATAAATTTGAGGAAAAATTTAAAGTGTAAAAGTTTTCGATGGTACTTGGAAAACATCTATCCAGAAAGCAACTTTCTCAAAGAGTATTCATTCGTTGGGGAAGTAAGGAGGCAAACATGTGCTCTGTTTTTCTGTTTGAAAATTCTAATTCAGCTTATTTCAAGGTAGTAAGCGTTGCTGATGAAAGTTGCTTGGACATATACAAGGCACGGTTAAACAATCAACTAGCCACATTTGGTTGCCATAAATTGGGTGGCAATCAGTTTTTTGCATATGCAAAAACTGGTCAAATTATCACTGTCGAAGAACTTTGCGTTGGTATTTCGACCGACAGAAATGTCGTTGTTCTAGTTGAATGTTCCGAGCAAGACCCAACACAAATATGGACATATTATGAAAACGTAAGTGAAATATTGGAATTTAAAATCGATGTCTTTACTACTATTCAAACCAAGACGCGATAAAACTGTCAACTGTTGAAGTATGAAGAAAAGGTAGAATAAAGAGAGCATTTTCTGTAGAAACAGCAAAAAAATCATTAATCCCAAAGTTGTAATAAGGCGTGTCATAAGCAAAGTGTTGAAAATTTATGGAATCTGAGGCGAGCAAAACAATGAATAATAACTGTATGTTCTTTCAGAATATGTGGCTTTTACATAAAGAAACACAGCTTTGTTTGAAAAATGCCAAGTCAAAGGCGGTATTAGCAAATTGTGACCCAATCGATAAACAAACAAAGTGGAAATTGAGCTCAACGAACTGAATCTAATGTCGGATAATCGACAGAACCAACTGATCTCAAATGAAAATTGAGATCGATCGAGTATTTTGACGATAATTCAATCAAAAATATACTTTTTATTTGAAAATGTTTCAGATTATTGTAAATATTTCAGTAGATAAACAAAAAAAAAACAAATGAAAATATAATATATAAATTACCAGCAAGTATAAAACACTCAAGCGACTTTAAATTATTTCAAATTGCGTTAAAAAGTGGCATAATGTTCAATAAATATCAGCGTCGTTGCTTATTAACGGAATACATTTAACATGAAAAAGATGTGAATGTGTTGAATAATTGAGCGAATCGCAGTAATAAAATCTCCGTATTAAACGACTAACGACAATAAATTCACGCAATTAGTTGATACATTTGAAATATAGAGCGTAGAAGCGGTTGATGAATCGCAGTTTCGGGTTTTGCCACGATTATTATTTGAACAGATGCAAGACCGTTGCGTAAACAAATGGTTTAGTCCGATTCGGTGCAGTTTCTAATGAGTATATTTCACGTTCTTATCTAAGATTGTCCTACGCACTTGATTGGAGCAGACAAAGTTTTGATCGATTATGCATTTCCTCAACAAAAAATGTAAGTTTTATTTCATTTGAATCGCCTCTTTTTTGTTAAATCCAACAATCATCTGCAAATAACACGATAAATTAAGTTGAGCAGTCAAACTAAAAAATAATCACAAAATTTGACGTATTGCTATCAGTTTATTGTTATAGATATATAATTTATTTAATCTTTTATCGCGATTTGATATCGAGTGATTATCCTGATAAAGAAAAAAACTCGCACAAATCGTTATTATCAATCGACATTGAACTTATCCATTAAGTTATAAACGTTTTATTTGCCAGCCGATGACGTTGAAAAATGGAAGGGTCACAGTTATGGATGTGCTTTGATGAACGACGCACAAGGCACCGTATTTGGACTGATTTTAAAAGTAATGGCGCTCGCTTTTAGGCGATATTGGAGGCTACTCTGGGTGTGCTTCATTCTCAGTGGAATCTTTTGTATTTGTTTCATTATTTTTCAAAACAATGAACCATCGATTGAAATTCGTGACGAGGCACCCGTTGCGAGTCGTCAAAATGTTTTCTATCAATCTTTAAGTGAGAAACTGGCATTGCCATTATTTCATCCGAAGCAATTGAAGATTGAAAATAAAGAGAAACCAAAAAATTCACCAATATCGAAAGAAATTCAGCGAAGTAAACATACCCAAATTAAGAAACCAATCGATATCGATGTGAGGAAACTTGTTGAAATCGAGAAGCATGCTAAGAAACCACAAAGAGCTCAAAATCATGGTGAAATATTGAATAAAGTGTTTGATAAAAAATTCGACAGCAATAATAAGTTAGAACAAAAACACAGTTCGCGGGAAATAATCGCACAAAAATCTATTAAAATTGATAGAAAAAAGCCAGTCGAAGTCAGCGGTAGTGTTTTGAAACACACCAATTCAAGAGGTCGAATTGTACAAGACCAAATGAAAATGAGATTCAAAGTTAAAATACAGGACAAGGTAAATATGTTCAGCATTTTCGTTTGGAGTATTATAATTGTTTACACAAATGGATCGTCTACTACAGAATAAACGACTGCCAAAATATTATGACGATAATTTACGACCAAACTGGACGTTCAATATATCGCGAGAATACGATGATAAATTATTACGTCAATGGACTGAGCCAATTGCAGTGAATGTAGAAGACCCATCGGCTCCAGGAGAAAATGGAAGTGGATTTGTTGCATCAAAAGATGAGGAAGAACTTATGCAGAAGCTCAAGCACGAACACAACTACAATGTTCTGGCATCCAATCGAATTTCATTGCATCGATCATTGCCCGACTCTCGATCGTCCGAGTGTCTAAATCTCATTTATCCCACAAAGCTGCCCACAGTAAGTGTGGTGATTGTATTTCACAACGAAATTTGGTCAACATTATTCCGAACGGTATGTATATCGGATTTTTCTCCATAATGCATTACACTTCGCCGAGCATGTGTTATATTACGTTGCAACTTCCATTAGGTATGGAGTATAATTGATCGATCACCGCCTGAGCTAATTGAGGAAATAATCCTAGTAGATGATGCAAGCACATGGGATTTTCTTCAAGGACCACTTGATAATTATATCAAAACACTACCAGCCAAAGTGAAAGTCCTTCGAATAGCAAAACGTGAAGGTTTGATTCGGGCACGTTTAGTTGGCTCTAGAATTGCTAAGGGAAGCGTTCTCACTTTCTTTGACGCTCACATGGAATGTTCACCCGGCTGGTTGCCACCAGTGCTCGCTCGCATCGCCAGTGATCGATCTGTGGTTGTTGTACCTCTCATTGATGGAATTGATTCCAACAATATGGCCTATTACCCTATTCGGGATGTGCAAATTAACACCCTACGATGGCATCTTATATTTAATTGGTATGCACGAAATTGACACATTCATACCGCAATTAATACGTTCTAAAATAGTTTTTGCGAAACATTGAAGTCTTTTTGAATATGAATTTCTCTATTCCATAGGATGTCCGTTCCGCAAAGAGAGTTGAATCGTACCCAAAATGATGTAACGGCTCCCATTCGTATTCCATCGCATGTTGGATGTGCCTTTTCAATAGACCGTGAGTTCTTTTTTGAAATTGGCTCATATGACGAAGGGATGGATATCTGGGGCGCAGAAAATGTTGAATTGGCATTTCGGGTAATAATTCAGTTCTTTACAACAACAAGAAACGATTCTCTTATGTGAGATAATAGATTGACCATTCATTTTTCACTGCTCAATGCTCTGCCGTTTTCTTTTTAAAAAAAGGTTTGGTTGTGCGGTGGAGCACTTGAAGTACATCCCTGTTCACACGTCGGCCATCTTTACAGAGTGTCAACTTATTCTTTCAACGGCGACGCACAAGTTATTAAAGAACGAAACAATAATCGACTGGTCGAGGTGTGGTTGGATGAAAAAAGTAAGGAGCTTTACTATGCAGCTAGACCAGGTATGAATCAAATTCAATTGAAAAATTGAGCATAAATCGAGGATTCTAATTTGTAATGCTTTAAAAATGATTTCAGAATCAAGAAAATATTCACCGGGCAATTTGACGGAACGATTCAATCTGAAAAAGCGTTTACAATGCAAGAATTTCCAATGGTATTTGGACAATATTTATCCGGAAAGCCTCTGGAATCGAGAGTATCACATGATGGGACTTGTTAGTAGATGTTCACTCATAAACACTGGATAGTATATTCATTAAACCTTTCGATTTCGTTTGATTTTAGCTGGCAAATGTGGAACGGAAAGCATGTTTGGATATTTTTACAGCAGCAATTAGAGGAAAGCTTATTGTATACCGTTGTCATGGATTTGGTGCAAATCAGTTTTTTGCATTTGCAAAATCGGGCCAAATCATTTCGGTGGAAGACCTGTGCATCGGCGTCAATCATGATAAAACAGTGATTTTGGTGCAATGCTCCGACAATGACAAATCACAACTTTGGGATTTTGATAAAATGGTGTGTGAATGTTCTGTTCATTCTTTTGAAGCATTTCTTATATTTACGAGCTGTTTTCTTTCTGCTCAAACAGAAGGGATGGATTGTGCACAGAGAAAGTAGTTTGTGTATGCAGAACAACCAAAGTGATGTAATAATTGGAGCGTGCAACGCAACCGATATACGAACGAAATGGGATTTCAAATCCACCTGGCGAAAAGAAGTGCCGGAGGCAGAAAAATTAACTATAGAGAAGGTTAATTTAAAGAGCAACCCCTGAAATCGAGGATAATAAATTGATTGTCAGTAAGATATAGTGTAAAAAAGAAACATCTTCGATTTGTATTCAAATATAATTTTATTGTTGTTATGTATTTCGAATTACTTTTTCATTCACGAAATCGTTTCCTACGATTTGCTTTATTTGAAGAGCAGTTCAGATTATTCAGGTACATTCGTACATGTAATTAAGTTTCTGCTTGTCTTCTTTAGACATACCCTTCCGATTACCAATAACATTTTGTTTGCTTGGATCCTTGAAAAAATATCAACACATGAATAGAACTTCAACAAAAAAAATCCAATTAAATTGTAATGTACTTTAGTTTTGATAGTGAGTTTGCCATTTTGCGAGAATGATTTTCCAGCATAATGCATTATGCTGCTATAATCATATTCGCCACCCATGTGTGATACTACGTTGTCACCCATCATTTCAAATTGTCCAGCATTACCTGGTTCAATGTTTTCCCATAAAATCTCAACATATTTATCCCGATCAAATGAACTTTGCATATGCAAGAACCCAAGAGCTGAATCGGTAAACAAACAATACAGTAAATAATTAACCAAAGAAATGAAGAAATCTGAAAAAATTCATTCCCACCATGCATTATTTCATGGATAATAATGCCAGGAAATTGGCAGCCCTTTGCTAAGTTCAATACTTGTCTTGTGCCTATATAGCCTACATTAGAATAACATCCACTCTTGGTAGCCTGCAACAAATGATAATTCGAATATTTGATGTTTTATTTGAATCAAATTATACACAAAACGATCAATTTTACCTGAAAATGAACATAGTTTGGTTCATTGGTACGTTTTTTAAACTTAATGCACGAGCCCGATGATATATGTGACATTGCGTCTTGGATTAACTTTTCCTCGCCACTCAATTCATCTCCAATATCATAAATGAGTGTATTCCCAGGCCAACGTAAATTTGGATCAATCACCCCATTGAATTGGTTAAAAGCGAGTTTTTGCTTTTCCGTCAATACAATGTCTCCCTGGAACCATTTTCCATATTCAGGATCTAAAGTATAAAAAGAAAAATACAAAAATTCAACAGTTTTCTAAAATTTTTGGCTTTTTCAATTGTGATTTTGACAACTTTCCTTCTTCGACTGCATTTACTGCAGAATCCAGAATGAAATCTAGTGAAAGAAACACGCAAATTAACACCAACCAACTCATGTCACAATGCAATGATCGATATATTAAGCTGAAACGTAATACTTCTTATCAAACAAGCCTCATTTTGGCTTTTATACTTTCTCTTTCTTCGGTCTATTTGTTTTTCTAATTAGTGCAATTTCGTCAATTTTTGATTAGAAAATTCCGCAAAAATTCATTCGACATGCACCAAAACAACAGTTACGACATTTCACAGATTAGAAGCAAACATGTAATATATTACTTTTCCGTACACATAGTGTCAAGAGAAAGTATAGGAATTGGTCCCGAAAACGTTTTTTTCCCGTAAAATTAGTTTAGATCATGAAAAATCATGAAACGCATAGAAAACAAGACCGCAGAGCTTCGCTTCGTTCCGCTCTGTGTTCTTGAGTTTTTAGTGACTTAATCTATTTTGTTGTTTCACAAAAAACTATTTTTTGGTGCACTACATGAAATGTATTTCATCAAAGTAACTTTGAAGTAATATATTTATTTGCAAAATGAATTACAAGATCTTCGTTTAATTTCTTTTTTGAAATATACTGCCTTTGGTTTAAATTAAATAAATAATATGAGCATAGAATCTAAAATCACTTTAATTCTAGTCAAGACTAGTAGCTCTACATTTCATATAGTGCTAAAAAGTACGAACAACAGTATGTACGAAGATTCTTTTTATTTCCTTCATGTATTTATAGTAGAGTGGGCAGAAAAGGTGCAAGACTAGCGCAGCGAACGGAATTAATAAATATCAGAATAAATCTCAAGAATGAATCAGAATAAAAAGAAAATTGCAATAATGTGTCAAAGTGTGGAATTTCATGTAAATCTATTGGCAAATATGAGGTGTGATCAACAGTTCAGAGTTCAAAGATCTGATTTCAAAAAAAGAGTGTTACTTGATTGTGTGTGATGAAACGAGCAATAGCTACGTCGAGCAAAACCTAATATTGCCTTGAATTCATAGTATTATGAAATGCCGATTAGAGCTCGCAAAATCCTACTGTATCCGAGTGAAAATAGTAAAGTTAGAAGTGAAGTTTTTTAAACAGGCTTCATGATTATCACATAATTCATTATTTAAACGCAATAATTTACTATGCTCAATAATAATACAATACCGATGTTGCGTAGGGCTACAATACTGAGGTTGTCTTTCTGATAAGAGGCCAGTGACAGAATTCTAAAATTCGTTAGAGCATAATCACTGGGGTACTAAACTCAACCGAATATGGTTCAAAAATCGCATTAAAATTGGAAAGAATGATAAGTGTTGTACGCTACAGTTTGCACATCGTCTAAAGGTCTCTTCCGATTATTCTACTGGGCACATATCAGCTAGCATGGTGATACGCTACAAACATGAAATCAGTATTCATTTGACTGTAGCCGAAGTAACGTCACTTGTCAAATAGTGTCCATTTTTGAGCATGATTAAGATTGCTCTTTTATTCATTTGCCGAAAAAAACGGAAATACAAAGAGATGTGAGCATTGTGAAAACAAAAATCGTAAATTTTGGCACTTGAACTGATATTTACCGGAACCAACAATCATTGTAGTAAAGTGTGTATCACACTTCACATATTTCGACAGTTACGATAATCGTCGCAGCAAAACGATTTGAAGCGAGTGAAAAAAAGATTGTGTAAAATTCAACAGTTAAAATGTCGTACGTGTTTTTACTTCCGATCGCCGTATTTTTGGTGTGTCAAATTACATTTTTTAGCACAAGTTTTGCTGCCATTTGGCAAGGGCATGCATCTGCGCCGTATATTAGTGATGGTGCGACACTTTCACCCGAGAGCTGTTTTTTCGGTCAGTTTGTGAATATGGGTGCCGTTTTACTTGGAATCGTTGTCTACATTCGATATCGCCAAATTGAGGAGCTCATGTACGATTACGCTGACCTCATCAAATCCGTTGAGAAAATGAACAAAGCAGCAATGTGGTATGGGTTTGCTGCATGCTTGGGCTTAAGTATGGTGGCCAATTTTCAGTTGACAAATGTGCCTAGCGTACATTATTTTGGTGCTTTATCCTGTTTTGGAAGTGCAAGCGTTTATATTTGGTTTCAAGGGCATATAACGTATTATGCACGCGCCTATACTGGATCATTGCGGATGGCTTACTTTCGATTTGGATTGGCTTTTTTGTGTACGTACTTTTTCTTCGTCGCAATTCTCACGAATTGCGAATCTGTTCGGGTGATATTTGGGGAGAAGCCACCGAAACACTGTAGCTACCATGAAGTGAGCGTTACATCCGAATGGATTGTTGCGACGATACTTTGCATATACATACTGTCATTTACCGACGAATTCCGGCGAATCTCCTTGAACCATCCGAAAATTATGATAGACAAAAGTGAAAATCTTAGTTTGACTGAATCCAGTCAAGCCACTGAATCGGTATCCATTTCCATTGGGATAGCGTCAACCATTTCAACGGTTTCGGATGGATGTCGTTACATTGAAACTCATATTCAGCTAGACGATTCACCACTATGTCAAAAAGGAGTGTCAACAATATGCCCACAAAAGCGAATCGTGTGAAATGCTTTAGTTAATTTTAGTGTTTCAGATGATTTTAAGTTGGTCATGCTAATTATTGAATCCAAAATGTAGCCACTTTTGAGGGGTTTTGTTTTGAACAGTGTTGCAAATCAGTAGACATCAATATACTATACCAGCGGTATATACCGAAGTATTCTTTTATACATAATATGAAGAAGAGCCTTTTGCAATTAAAAAAAAATGATGCAAAGTCATTAAAAATGTTTGAAATGTAAAACTTTAACAAGTTTGACAGTTTTTAGTTTTTTTGAGATTGTTTTTACTATGTGTTTAATGATTCTAAAGGCATGGTATATTATTCGTTGTATAGACCGGTATATACCGTCACAGTATACGGTATATCTCTCAACACTGGTTTTAAAACTATATCGCTGTTCACATGTTTTAAGTCAAAAATAAACTGATTGCCATTGAGTTTGACATAGAGTAACGGTTAACTGATCTCATTGAATCTCAGCAAAATAATGATATTCAAATAATGTTGATAAATCGAGGGAAACTTGTAATTTATACGATAATAGTACGGACACAGTTAAATGTGTGGAATTGAAAAACCAAATCAATTTATTTGACAAAGTACGCACTAGATAGACTTTCGACGTATTTGAAAATAGAAAGTATAAAAGTAGTGCAAATTTATTTCCTCATTGCCGCTAACTTATTAGAATGAAGTGTGTTCAATTTAATGGAAAAAAAAACTGTAACGGAATATTCCAAATTCGATGCAAATGATGAGATTAGCAAATAAATGAAAATATTCAATCGAATAAACCATTACACTGAGTTTTGATTTGTTTTGTTTGTGTTTTGTTTTTCAGTTAAGATGGGATTATCCCACGCGGGAACGTTCCGATAAAGCTTTGTTTCAACAGTGAAATTATCTGACGCAATAAAATCGTCGGTCTGTTGACTACGACCGATTATCAAACGAAACGCTCAGCAACATAATTGTTGTAATTTATTTGACTTGCTATTGTATCCCAAATGATCAGTAAACATTTTACTACGAAAGCTACTTTCTCATATCACACAAAAAGATGATTTATTTTTGATGGGAACGAGACTATCTATTTAGTCTATACTGGAATGCGAAAAACAAAGAAATGGAATCACACATGCGTTATCATTTACATGTTGAAAACTAAGCAAAAAAAATGTTATATTCGACCGTTCCCTATCACAGGCCAATAATTACCATATACAAGTTCATTTGAATCGTATTACACGAACTCAATTGCATAATTTTTACAAAATACACATGTTATACTTGGATTATTTGCATCCAGGCTTTGCTACAGCATAAATTCATCACGCTCAATACATTTATGGCATAAATACGATGGGCTCGCTTTGCAGCGAACGAAATCTGTTTGTCTTGCGTGACCAACTTTGAATCATATAGTAAAGACACCTTTCGTTCACCGCAAAGCGAGAGCATCGTATTTATCCCATAAATGTATTCGGCGCGATGAATTTATACCGTAGCAAAACCTGTATGCCATGTGCAAAATTTTGTGTTATTCAAGTATGAGATGTGTGAAATTTTGTTTCGTAAATACTTCTTGTTATAACTTTTGTTGATATTCACTTACGCAGTATTAAAACGGCGATGACCTTTGGCTTAAAGAAAAAACCCAACGGAAGTTCTTGATATTTCGCATTCGGAAATTTAGTGATTCATATCAAATGAATCGGTCAGAATTAATAGAAATAATGAAATGAGGCTCGTGAAGAAGTTTTTGCGCAAAAGTGTGCTTTGCCTATGTCATTTTGCATTGGTAGAAGATGCTTTTGCGTTTGAGCATTTTTTAAAATCACATTTCGATTATGTTATTTGATAATGTTGAATAAATTTTAATCGATTCAAATACTGAAAAAAGAGGTTGGTCTAAAGGAGATGTTTAAACTCTGTATTTTTCTGTTTCCGTCTTCAGCAGGAGATTACGCATCGAAATAAGCATTTCTGATTTTATTTCTACTTACTATCTGAATTAGATTATATGTACCTTTATAGGCGAGTTCGACTCTGCTTTCATCACTCGCGCCTGCTGTCGCCGGTTGTGATAAAATTTCTTGAGAAATATTTATGCTTACTATTTATATACAGATACAGTCATTCTTAATTTATTTTTAAGCCATTTTTAACTAGTGATATTCATCGTATTAAAAAGTTTTCTCTGTAAAATTATTTATCCGGTCCATGTGATTGAATCAGCATTTAATGAACAACAATTCAGAATTCGGCAATATTATAGAAAAAAACTTTTTAAATTAAACTTCAGTCAATGAAAAAATGGAATGCTGTAAGATTGGTCTGTATATCGAAGCGTTTAATTTAAAAGTAAACAGTTATTGCTTCCAATATGTCAAAATTATTTTGGTTTCCCATCATTACATTTGCATTGTGCCTGCTAACTTTTCTCTTGACAAATATTGCAGTGATTTTTCAGAGCAATATTACATGGCCTTATATCAGTGAAGGCGGAACGTATCCACCAGAGAGTTGTATTTTCAGCCAAGCCTTAAATATGGCCAGCTTGTTGATAGGAATTATTATTTATATTCGATATCGTCAAATTGAACGACTTCCATATCATAATGATGGGCTGAATGAATCAGTGATGAAACTAAATCTGGCCTCAATATGGATTGGCTTGACCGCTTGTCTTAGTTTGAGTATGGTGGCTAATTTTCAAGCATCGAAAACGATGGGTGTACCGCATTCTATTGGTGCATTCTCTTGTTTTGGTCTTGGGAGTATCTACTTTTGGTTACAAGGATTCATTTCGTATACTGTCCGACCGTATACGGGATCTACAGAGATGACATACGTTCGATTTCTGATAGCTCTTGTTTGCACGTGCAGTTTGTGTGTCACAATTTTTACCAGTTGCCAGTTGGTTGGATTATATTTTAACAAACATCTACCGCTCAGTTGCAAATACAAGCGTTTCAGTTCATTGGCAGAATGGATCACTGCCATTGCATTCTGTTTTTTCATATTGTCATTTACAGGTGAATTTAAAAAAATCACAATCGATCGACCGACCATTTCAGTAGTTTGTAGAAATGAGAACATTAGTGTATCAAGTGCATCAAGTCAAACTTTATTATTTAATATTTAAAAGTTTTAAAAATTCAATATGCCAATCAATCAATTTATTCAAATAATGTTCTACTAACTTGATTTTGCTGTTATACGTTTAATATGAGATATGATATTTTTACAAAATAATTTCTATTCACTGAAAAAGCTTAGGAAACTGTGAAAAAATGAGGAATAAATGCAAAATGGTTTATTGTTATTTATTCGAAGTTTATATTTTCTGAAACATTTCTACTAGCAGAGCAAATTCATAATATAGCATGTTTAACATACGAAATATTGTTTCAATCATAGTAGAGGTAGTAATTCGACAATTTACTGTCTTTTGCAGACGGTTGCTGCAAGAGCAATATACCACTGGCGATCCTTGTGGCACCGATTTTAATCTGTTGAAAAAAAAACCTTGTAACACATAGGCATATTACTATCGGTGCCATAAGATGTCGCTAGTGGTATATGCTCTTGCAGCAACGGTGTTGTCTATTGAAATATCACAACTATTTTTTGGAGTTTAATTTCGAACTTTGACCGTTGAAATCCAATGAAAGGGAAGCATAGTGTAAAGCTGTGGGAAGTTCTTTAAATGGCCATCATATACCCCTTGAATCGCTACCATCGCCACAAACAAAACCGTTATGAATCTGACTTTCCTTCAATACAAAATAATCCAAGTGTCCACTCAAAGTGGACGGATCCAACCAGATAAATCGAAAATTCTCGACGTAGTTTAACGATTTGACTGCTTGTTTTCCTTCGATTTGCCGCGAAAGTAGTGCGAGTGTAAGTAGACATTTTCTTTCCTAGAATAAAAGATATTGCCCAACATGGCCCAACATTTGATCAGCAAGAGATGCATATAAGAATACATACAACTATATTTTAGAAATATCATCAACAATCTCTAGTATTGTTTCATCGAGCACAGTAACATAATATTGAACGCAATCATACTCTAGTGGACCCAGAATATTATCGAATAAAAACGTTATCTACACATTTATGGGGGTGTGATTGAGAATAGTGTATGTTTTTCTCGACTTATAGTTTGATAAAGTATAGTACGTTTCAATCGTGTTTTTTTTGTCGATTTTTATTTCAATGACAAGAAATGTTGAATTTATGTCTTCACAAAGATTGTTGGTTTTGTCAAACCAAACAACTTTGCGAGAGACAATAAACCTATGTCTATTGAAATAAATGAACTATTTCAAGATTTTCTGACCGCTTGAGATTATATTCAACTCTTTGTAATACAAAGTTTGTGAATCATACACCATTCTTAATCCCACCCATATCGTTATCTATCACATTTATCGGATCAAATTGTTATCGACATAAAATTACTTCGTTCAGCTCATGAGACTGATTCATGCTTTATTTTAAAATGATTTGGTGTTGGCAACCATGCAAATAACCAATTTTTAATACAACATTTCAGTCAGTGAAAATCTGTCCATACATCTACATTAAATGTCTAACTTTTTAAGAGTATTAACTAGAATCAGTTAGTTCCTACTATTTAAATGCAATATTTCATCAGTTATAATTTGTAATATGTCAAAATTATTTTGGATTCCAATCATTACGTTTGCATTGTGTCAATCAACGTTTTTCTCGACCAGTATTGCGGTGATTTTTCACAAAAATATTACATGGCCTTATATCAGCGAAGGTGGAACGTATCCACCAGAGAGTTGTATTTTCAGCGAGCTTATCAATATGGCCAGCGTGTTTTTGGGACTCATTATTTATATTCGGTATCGTCAAATTGAACGACTTCTCTATCATCATGTAAGCCTGTTGGAACAAGTAGCGAGAAAAAATGTGGTGTCATTATGGATTGGCTTGATGGCATGCATTGGCTTGAGTATTGTTGCTAATTTTCAATTGACAAAATTGCCGCAAGTGCATTATTTTGGTGCATTCTCTTGCTTTGGACTTGGAACGGTATATTTTTGGTTCCAAGGATTTATTTCATACTCAGTGCGATCATATACCGGATCCATGCACATGACATACGCCCGATTGGTGTTGGCTACGATTTGCACGTGCAATATTTTTGTCTTTATATCCACGACTTGCACAGCGACGGAAATCATTTTCAATGAACGTGAGCCAAGTTGCAGGTACAAGGAAACTAGTGCAATGGTGGAATGGGTTATGGCCACTGCATTTTGTTTCTTCATATTATCGTTTACGTCTGAATTCAAAACCATCACAATGGATCGACCGATTATTTTAGTAATTAGACGCGAGACCAGGCCGAATCTGGATTCAAGTGAACCAAGTGGATCAATTCAAAGTTTATCAATTCAAGTCACATAATTATTCAGTCATTAATTGAAATATAGTTTTTTTTAGAAAGAACATGTGAAGGCTTTATACCATTTGTGCTTTTTGCAATAATATGGAGCCGCCATGTTTATTTACCAATCAATAGTACTGAAGTACAGTGTATTTGAGTCCGTACCTTCTCCACTACTGCTTCAAAGCATAATGGTATAAAAATCTGCCAGAATTTACGCCTAGTTCTTTTCTTCGTCATCTTTATAAAAGTATGTTTTTATTATTGGAATAATCTTTATTTTACAAATCATGACATTTTCATTGATACGCCTTGATGGGGATACCATGTAAGAAATATGATTCATATTTATTAAGTGATTACATCGCTACGATAGTCTTCGTGAGCAATGGAAGCATAACAATGATTCACTGAATTTTTTATTTTCATTCTCAAGAATTTGGGAGCTATCTTGAAACATATTTGTTTTATTCTAGAATTCACGATACATATAGATTAAACGAAAATTTATCAAAAGTTTGACAAGTCACATGTTTGTAATCGTTTATGTTAAGTTTAAAGCCAATTTATGGGTGGAATCTAGTCGATGTAATTGTTTAAAAATTAAAATAAAATTGTTCCATTTAGCATTCAAACTTCAACGTACTATTCAACAGCTTCGTATTTGAAATGTTCATAAAAATTAGAATTGGCAATCTGTGTTAATTAGATTGTATAAATAAAAAAGGGGAAATTTAAAGACTGACAATAAAGCTGAGCAACACGTCACTTTTAATTCGAATTCACGATAAAAATGTCAAAAGTGTTTTTATTTCCAATTGCGGCCTTTCTCGTGTGCCAAGCAACGATAATAGGCGTCGTTCTGTCGTTAAATCTGAAGGATAGCTTGCATTCATTTTATATTAGTGATGGTGCTCAGCAGCCGCCAGAGAGTTGCATTTTTGGTCAACTGATAAATTTGTATGCCGTTTTGTTCGGGATTATCGTTTATATTCGTTATAGTCAAATCGAAGAGCTCGTGCTAAACCATGACGATATTGAAAAAACGGTTCGAACCCATAATGAAATCGGATTGTGGATGGGGTTGGGAGCGTGCATCGGTGTGAGTGTAGTAGCTAATTTTCAGCAGTCTAAGTCACTTATCGTTCATACAATCGGTGGGTATGTCTACTTTTGCTTTGGAATCTTTTACTTGTGGAATCATGGAATTACTTCGTACTACATTGATCGATATGCTGGATCTCGAAATAACGCCATATTTCGATTAATTCTGGCATTTATCTATACATTCGTAATATTTCTGGCTTTGATGACAAGTTGTAATATTGTTGCATTGATTGATGGACTTCCTAAGGAATGCGGCAAACACAATTATAGAGTGTGGAGTGAATCTTCAGAATGGATTGCCGTCACCCTGTTCAACATATACTTATTATCATTCACCAGTGAATTCAGATTTATTTCATTCGACCGACCGAAATTGATATACAACCATGAAATAAGCGCTTAAAATGAGTCAAAGCGAACGTATTTGCATGAAAAATGTAATGATATCGTTGTATTTCGAGATCATGAACGATCAAAATCCGAATTGTGATAAACACAAAACATAAATAAGAACAACAATTGTAAATCCAAGAGTGAATCACATTAAATGAATAAAGCTATCGAAAACAGCAGATAAAAGACTCGTTTAAAAATTAAATTCCAGACTTAATTTCAAAAAAAAGACGAAAAGAAATAAAAGACATACTTTTCTCTGACTTCGAATTTTCTGATTTACTCAACAACACTTCTTTTTATATCACATAATCCATTTGATGGAGTTTTTATCTTTCATAAATACATGCATAAAAGGCCACAATTTTAAAACATTTCTAGTGTTACCTGCAAATTCACACAGCTCGTTGATGCGAAATATAAATCATGACTTAATTTTAAAAAAAAATACAATAATTACTTTGAAATTAATTAAATAATGAACAAAACGTTGCACAAAATACTTGCTCTTAAGTGGAATTATTTGATAGCTTTCAATTCGATTGAACCATTTTTCATTTATTTACACAAATAAAATTAGAATGAATACTGAACCAACCACTTGAATTGAAATAAATTGATTGAACTATCTATTGTTTGCACTACGATTATTCTGGGTTTCATCGCGTTGGAATTTGGTGAATGACAGAAATACTTGTTCCAGCGACGTTTGACTGATCGAATAATCTTCGATGTGCAGCGTTTGTTTTGCTGTTTCCATTAGGCCAAACATTGACGACCATCTCAATTTATTATTTGGCGGCACATAATATGTGAGGAGACCTAGGTATTCCTCTCTGTAAAACGGAACGAATTGAATGAAAATGTGTTACGATTAATTTTAAACTAATAAAATTGCATGCAATTTTTTTCTTTGTTTAAGCATAAACTAACTTTAGATCGGCGCCGATGAAATTTCGTTGTACAAATTCCTTGATTCGAATCACTTTCAGGTGTAGCTGGTCTGACATCTGAATGTCAGCCGCACGAGAGTCAATGCTGAAATAAAAACGAAACGATATTAGAGTTTGCTTAAAAAGATATATATCTCCGCAAGAATACCGTATCTAGTAAATATCAATTCATTTAAAATGTTCATTAAAAATGTTGTTAAAATTCAAATATTCATAAGATTCTTATCTTATGATAAGATGGTGCAAACTACGTGAATTCTATGGTAGATATCATTTCTATCGAAAAGAGTGACATTTGTGTATGATGCGCAGCAAACAATAAAAATCATTTACCTTCCGGCGACACTTCGATATTTGATCAGTTCTCCAAGAACATCTTCAAAACTTTTACTTCGATTGAAAAAAAGCCAAACACAAAGAAGAAAACATATAAAAACCACAAAAAGAAACAAAACGATTTCATGCCAAACAAACAGTTCTTTTTTTTTAAAGCACACCATGAGCACGCAAATCAAACCACATGAAAAAAAAACTAAAAATAGAACTTACTCGATTTCAGTGTTTTTCTGCACTTTGATGGTAAGTAAGAATCCTTTGGAGAATTTACTCTTTAGATGTTGTGTTGACCCAAGGCACTTGAATTCGCCGTTTACCATGATGGCCAAGCGGGTGCAAAGAGCTTCGCATTCTTCCATGCTGTGTGATGTAAGGATGATCGATTTGCCCGTACTTCGAACTTTTGACACCATATTCCAAAGGTTTCGCTTGGCACCGGGATCCATACCGGTTGTTGGTTCATCTATGATGAAGAAAAAAATTCAAATGAAAAGGAATGGAACAAATTAAATAAAAGTGAAGGAAACATCACATCATACATGACAAATAAGACATGACTGAACATACCCAAATAAACCAAAACCGGATTTCCAATCAAAGCAACGGCAGTTGAGAGTTTCCGCTTGTTGCCACCGGAATACTCTTCCACCCGTTTATTGATATGTTTCATGAAATTCAGTTCGGTGGCCAATTGTTGAGTCAAAGCTGGAATTTGACTTGGATGAATGCCACGTAGTAGAGCAAAAAGTTCCAATGTTTCAGCTCCAGTCAGATCTTCAATAAGTGCATCGAATTGCGGACAGTATCCAATGATTTTGTGCACCTCTGGCATGTTACTTTTCAAACTGATGCCACGCGCATATGCTTCACCGCTTGATATTTTTGTATCACCCGTTAGCATTTTGAACGTAGAAGTCTTGCCCGCACCGTTCACGCCAAGCAAACCAAAGCATTCGGCTCTGTGAAAATAGTAAAAAAAAAGAATTAATAAAATCCATTTTCAAATATGTATCAAAACGAAATCAACAGCATTTACCTTTTAATCGCAATGGATATTTGATTCACCGCCAAAAACTTTCCATAAAACTTTGATAAACTTTTCAAGACCAAACTATTGGCTTCAATATCATTTACATTCATTCCGTTGACTATTTGCTTTTCTTTATTAACGTCGTCATCTATTTGATCGTCTTCTGCTATTGGCGGCAATTTTCTTGCAAACAAGCTCCGAATCCAATAAATTAACCCGGCAAACACACGGTATTCGATGATCAGAAGTAGTATGAAGAAAAAGATACCTGTTACGGCCATATATGTTAAATTTCGACTAATTCCAGGCTCTTTCCAGTCATAGGTATTAGTTGCACAGCACTCTTTGACTAGTGCACACAGAATCTTCCGGTTGCATATGGGAAACGAATTGCATCTTTGTTCGCAAATTCGATCCATTGTACGCATTTGGTTCAAGTTATTCAGAATACTGCTCAGTGAATAGTGTGGGAAAACGAGGAAAAACCATTTGAGCATGTTTGCTGTATTCGCTAAATTAAAAGCTGGAAACGACATTGCTAGTATCACAAAGAATACCGTGATTCCTGCACAAAACGAAATATTAGAATAATTAGTTTTTCAAAAATTGTCTTCGATTTATCTACTTAAACTAGAATGAAATTGAAAAGTTTTACGCTAAAATCCGTTATTACCTGTGAATATGAAAAATATGGTCATCCTTACAAAGCCCGTAGAAGGTATTGAGAATAAAAGTGATGAGACAAAAGTCATTGGTAACATCGAGAATCCAAAAAGGATGAGTGAAAGGAATGCTGGCGTTAATTCGCTTATTGTTGCCCAGCCGTCCTCTTGGAATACCGCTAACGTGAGTATAATCATCAAAGCCGTCAAAATATATGTCGCAAAATCGAATATAAATGAAGTTATCCAAAATGTTGACACGTTCAAACCACTGACAAACTGCAAGAGTTTGGCTTTTGAAACTCTTTCTTTGATATAGAACATTAGATAAAATGACGATACGAATGCCATGGCAAAGGAGATATTCGATGCCAATTGAAAACCCATATTTTGTCCCGACATTAACATGGACATTGTCGATTCGACGCGGAATGGTAGTGGTGAATTGGTCACTTCAATGCTGTAGTCATCACCGAGAGTTGTTTTGATCATCGCATTATGGATTAAATTGATTGACAGCGCCGTTGTGTGGAATGGCTGATTATTAAACCAACCAATTATGTCACTGTTATTGTTGATTGACATTCCAGCCAAATATTGCGAATTCAAACGGACCAGAATCGATTTTGCCAGCTTCAAGAAATGCTCTTGAATGTCTTCGTTAAATTCATCCAATCGATTGTCTTCACCTTGATTTTGAATGTACGTGCGATACTTCTCGAAAATTCTACGGAGGAACAAAGAAATTTATGTGGGTTCTTACTCCGAAAAAAGTTTGAAAATTTTTATTTAAAATTTTCCGTGAAAAATTCTCTATTAAAATCTTATTAAATTTTCCAACTGTTTGACAGACAATCATTTGGAAAAAAAATTTCAACGAAAATGTATTCATTGTCTTCTCACCTTTGAAGTTGTGGATCATCAAATTCCGTAGGCATTTGGAGCATGGTAACCGTTTTTTCGTATCGATTCAGTGTAATTTCCAAATTGGGTAATGTATTATTTTCGGCCATCATGTGAACAACAAAAACGCTAATTACAATGAAAACAACTGGAATGAGATTTTGTAAAAAAAACAAAACCCAACTGCGAATCCAACAATTGTAACGTTTTTTGAACATTGCCATCCATTGATTTACACGCAAACCAAGTCCACGCATTGTTGGTACAATTTCATTTGACAGTTCAATATTCGTTATGGCACTATCACTATCGCGGTTTATTTTGTAATTTCCATTCATTTCTCCATTTTGCAACGGATTACCGTTTGGCATTTTGTCCAAATTCGAGTCAGCACCAACTTTAAGGAACACTTCTTCTAGCGTAGTCAATGAAACACCAAAACTGCCGAGCTTCAAATCCGTTTGATTATTTTCAAGTTTTTCAAACATTCTTTCGAACTTATCTACATATTCATCGGGCAAAGCATAGGCTAGTTCACTTGCAATATCTTCTTGCACTTCAATTCCCGGAATGTATTCGCGTAGCAAATTTGTCACCGCATTTGCATTACAATCACCATTTTTAACACAAACTAAGCGATAACCGGTGCCAAAGCGTTTTTTCAAGAAAAATGATGTGCCGCAACATTTCAATTCACTTTCAGCCATAATAGCGATCCGATCGCCAAGTACGTCTGCTTCATCCATGAAATGCGTGGTCAAAAGTATTGTTCGTCCTTTCTTTTCATTTTGCAATAAATCCCATAGTGCTCGTCTTGCCGCTGGATCCATGCCACTGGTCGGTTCATCACAGAAAACCACTCGTGATCGTCCGCATAGAGCAACGCCAACCGACAATTTTCGTTGCATACCACCCGATAGTGATGCGGACATAGCATCAATTTTTGGCTCTAATTCTAATAGTTGCACATATTTGGTCACTTCGTCTTGTACATCTGCTTGGCTTAAACCTTTCAATCGGCCATAAAATTCAATGTGTTCACGCACTGTTAATTCATCGAAGAGAATATTGTGTTGAGGACAGTATCCAAGTGAGCTTCTGGCTTTCTGTATATTTGTTCGAATATCGTGTCCATTTATAATGGCCGTTCCTGATGTTGGAGGAAACATTCCGGTCAACATTGACATCGTCGTTGTTTTTCCAGCACCGTTATGACCAAGTAAGACGGTAATTTGATCGTCGAACATGTTAAGAGTCAGCCCTTTGCAAGCCACTTTTCTATTCGAATAAACTTTACGAAGATTTTTCACTTTCACTCCCGCATGACGATGTTTAGGGTCTGGTTCGAAATTAAGTCGAATGAAATCAGGGTTCGATTCATTGCTTGATTCTGAGCTATCTTCAACGCCACTAAATTCAGGAGTACCAAACCAAAACTTAGCCGTGAAAGGGAAATACCATTTCTCAGGCACGCCATAGTTGCCGGGTAACACTTTTTCCACGTACAGTGTGATCAGAAGATAAATCAGCGATGTGCCCAACATAAAACACATAGTTATGCCAACCGTTAGACTATCGTCCACTGAAACCGGCCTCCAGAAATTTGACCATTGCAATCCTTCGCCTGTACCTTCAAACCGCAAGATCAATTGAAAGCCGTAAGCCATGGCAGTGTTCGATGAAATGCAAGCAATCAATTTGGATCGAAGTGATAATTGCACATAATTTTGTTGAGTGAACGAGAATGGGACATATAGTATGAACCACACAAGACCAGCGACAGCCGCTGCTGTGTTCGCTTTCGAAAAGAACACACTTAACATGAAGCAAAACGTTGTCATTGAAATACTGTACACGAACAAAAACACCCAAATTGCCGTCCAATCGGAGTGTGTGAACACTGCCACGGAGGAATCAAACACTGGCACCTGAAAAGCCGAACAAAAATTTGGAATCAATTAATGAATTGTTTTACATATTGTTCTGGGTACAAATTCAACTTTGACACATAACAATTCGTTTGTGATGAATGTTCAAAACAAAAAAAAAACTAGAAAAAACAATGTATGTTCGGGCTTACCTTCAGTAGAGCCACGATGAAAGAAATCGAAACGACCATAAACACCATTGTACGCACAAACCAGCTGGTCCAATGCAACCAACTCGGCAGGCCCATAATTTTCATGGCTTCTTTCAGTTGCCTTTCCTTTTCGATTGCAATGAAACGAACGGTATTTATGGTGGGATAGATGAAACTTAGCAGAATAAAGAATGAGACAATTGTTTCTAGACCTTGCAAAAGTACATCAAATATGTACGGTGGATATGGATAGCGTTGCATTCTAATCTTGGGCAATGTAGTGTTCTCACAAGTTGCATCGCTACATTTTAATTTTTTGAAAGAACGAGCAATAGCATCTTGTACGGGTAGAAAACCTTCTTGATAATAAAATGGCATTCCGCCGTAGTCTTCATCTTTTGTACGTGGGCCTCCCGTCGAAAACAGTGGATATAATAGGTTCGTATGCCAATTGAATATCAACGGCTCGGCCACTCTGGGAGTTCGACTTTCACTCGGGAATCGTAGTTTGTATGATAGCTTCTTAGGAAGGGGGAGGTTGGAGTCATTCTGTGGATTAAAAAAAAAATAATGTTTTGGTTTGTGAATTGTGGTCCATTTTCTTTTCACTGAAATTGAGAAATTGATTCAAATTGGTTGAATAATTACCGCTGGCAAATCAAATTCAAGTCCAGCCACAAGTTCACGATTGAACATTACCGACTCTATTTCTGCTCTAGTGTTCACCGCCACCGTGCCATTTTCCAGTTTTAGTAATCTGGCCGTTTCGTTCATTAATTCCGCTAGCTCTTTATTAACCGGTGAGTAGACCAAAGCCCATTCTTTGACGTGAAGGTCAAAACGATCAACATCTTCCTCACTGCACGAATCGAAACAGAATCAAAATTGAATTAATATTTGTGATGCGGCAAATGATGTTTTTTTTTTCAAGATGAGTGGGTAAGAAACTACGCTACGTATGATAAAATTAAAAATAAATTAAAGTGCATTTGACACCGGGTTAATTAGTGATTATATTCATCAACAATGTTTTCATATAATTAAAAAAAAAAACAATGTGAGAACCTCCATCAATTAAGTAATTTGCTTAGTTTGTTCCAGAGATCAGATCAAATAATAAGTCATTTCCATGCAATTAAACCAACACACCAAAGAAAGAAGAAAACAAATCCCCAGACATTGCTACAATATTCATACCTTAGCAAAAATTTGAATTCGAATGAATAATTGGATCCATTGCTATGCCGCATTAAAAAAAAAAGAATAGATTGGAAATTATAAAGTGCTGTTCGAATTTCGAAACGTCATTATTTTGCTGTATTTGAAAAGATGAAAAAACAACAACAACAATCGAACACGAAGTCATGCAATCGACTTGGGCAGCGAATGTTTGACTTCACTATGGAAAGTACAACAACAAAAACCGCTGTTTAGTTCAAGGTCACGGGCGCTCTCTTGATTCGCTCAAACAATCGACCGAACGAACGAAAAAAGCGCTATGTAATTGTACATAGTCCGTCACAGCAATTCAGCAATGTTAATTGCTCTTACGGGCACAATTCCATATATATATATTCATTTTAAATGGTTTGTTTCACATATTCGGTTTACACACTGCAATTAAAAATGGTACTCATTTTTCTGTCGAATCTGTTACAGATTGGCCTTCACTGACCCAAATACTTATTGTCTCAATAATTTCGCTAATTTGTAAATTTTTCCTCTTCGAAATACTAACCGAAGCGGTCGAAGATCACTGATGTCAAATGAATTGTATATGGTATTATTTGGGTATATATCTGGATCGACGATGCTTCGAATCAAGATGAGAATCACGCTGAATAGAACCGGCACCATAATTTCGGCGGCTGTTTGAATTTTATGGCGATATTGAAGTAGAAAATTTTTCCACATCAATAATCGGAATTTATCGAAATTGTTGGCCATTTTTCGATCTTCATACATTGGCGGTGCGGCATTCGTACCCATATCGATGATGTTATCAGTGCCCGTACTCTCCAAATTCAATGGTTCTTTACAATCATTAGTGTCAATTGATGTTGATGCCGTATGATACGATGACGTTAAGCTCCAACGATTTTTATGCCTACTGCGTTCGTGTTGTTGCTCTTCGTCGTCGCCGCTATCACCATTTACTTGCTCATAATCTGAATCACAGTGGGAAAAAACATAAACGCACAAAGAGTTAAAGAGAAGTGAACTTAAACGTTCCCATGTGGAAAACAAATGACTGTCTGACTGTAACTGAAATTCAAGTAATAAGCGACTTTAGTTAACTGAGCAGATGATTTGTATGGAAAATAGATGAAATTTCATCCAGTCGCTTAAATTGGGACATGTTTAACTATAATCATTGCTTTTTCTAATCTGGCTAAACACACCAGTCGACTAGGCCCCAAAATAATCGATTGGCTACTCAGTCAGAATATTTCCACATGGGTTGTACATAAAAAAAAAACAGGTCCAACGAACACATTTGGATGACTAATTCTCTTAAGTGAGACTGTTTACATGTTTACAACTTGTTACTATTTTGAATATTTCTAGAATTTGATGTCTTGGAACAACAACCTATTTTAGTTTTAGACTTTTTCGCCATTTTTTCCACTTTTTTTGTTTACAGAAATTTGAACCAATTCGTTTTATGAAACACAGCCACTCGATCGATAATCCGAGATACGTATGAATAAAAACACAGTATTGCAGTCAGAATTTATTATTCTGTCTAAAATCGCTGCGTGATTTATTCAAATGATAATAAAAATAACAATGGCATGACAAGTGCTAAAAGGTGAATTAAAAACACCGAGATCTCTCGAACTCAAAATAAATTAATTCTCTGTCTATTTTTTTTCTTTATTTCGTTGAAATGCAATCAATTGCATGCTACAATATAAATGAAAATCGAGTGTTTTTGAGAAGCGTTCACAACAGCTCGTCTGTTATGGGCAAACTAACTAACATGAGCACTTTATGTTCCGTCACTGGCTGACTATCTGTTTTTGTGTTTGAGTGTGCGCAAAAATAGTGGGATGGGAATCTAACTCAGCTGAGCGTACTGACACACGCTCCATATTTGCCTCACAAACGTCAAACTGGTATTACACATACCGTGACCAAAAAATGTATACAAACAAATCCACTCACGTTATTATGTAATGGTATATTCGCAGCATTAACCATACGAGACCACATGACTTCACTCTCTCATAGTTGTCGCGTTGCAGAGAGTGAGAGTGAGAGCGAAAGAGAATCGAAAAACACACAAGTCATTCCCATGCGAGTTATGTTTGAATATATCAGCAAACTAAACCAAACCATTAAAACATCATTTTCTCGCTAACCGTTCTACATTAAATGTCCGCCAATCATTATTTTGCCAGATAAAACAGTTGATTGTTTTTATCCGCTGTTTATTCAGTTACAAATATCTCTTTTTTTCTGTCGTAAACAAGCCTATTATGATGACACATTCAATCTAAATTGTACTATTTGCTCTAACATGAAATTAAACAAATGCTCTTTGGAACCGGAAGATTTACGACCCATTCACACGTAAATACTCGTATTCATTTCATCAAAGAAAAAAAATGTCATTTCCAAATTTTTGTAGAAGTAGAGGTCACAGAAAATGATATTGTTCTTTGGATATTATTACAAGTGCGCAAAAATCTATTCTTAGACCTTGACTCTCACTTATTTCACACCGTTTCCACCATCGATTTCTTGCCGGTTCCGCTTTGATTGCGGACGGAACATTGGGTTACTATGTAATATGTAGCACATTTAAGTGAACTGGTACTCACTTTCATGTGAAATACTATAGCTGCACTCATATTGGTTAGCTGATTAAACGGCTGGCGCAAATACCATATAAATGCTTACTTTTGTTTCGATAGTTTAAAGTGTTACAGTAAACAATTGATTGAACGAAAATGTATTGAGCCGTTAGCGGCGCTTTTTTCCTCAATCGGCCAAAGGTCAGGGTTATAATAATAATTTTATTTCAAACATTTTAGCCATTTCCAAGAAACAGTTGGTAATTTTTAAAATAAAGTTCGTTGACAGAGTAATATTACCATACTATAAAAAAACAGTTGCTTTGATAATTTTAAAACAAACATGAAACAATTGAAAGTTGACTTTTAATTGATACTGTTTGACGCTAGTCAAATGCAAATGAGTTGCATACATCTTTGATCTTCAACAAAAAAAAGAAATCATTCGGTCATTAAATTCACATATTCAACTCCTCATATTTTAATGATATTTCATTTTTTTCAATCTACACAACGCCAATTCATTACATGTGTTTGCATTTCTTACTGTTTTTTTCTAAGATTTATTTCCATGAAATGTGTATGATATGAACCAGTTTCAAAAGCGCTTTCGAAATGAAAATTCTGGTTGAAACGATTCTTTTTATGTTATGATTGAAGCATTGGAAAACAATCTGTACAGATTTAATCAGTAAATGTGTTTATCTGGCACTGAAATGGAATCGAATTGTAATAGCGAATCAATTTCAATTATTTATAGCTGTTGGGTTGAGTCATCGTTGTTTAGCTTGATTACAAAGTTAAAAAAAAAATGTGCCGTTGGGAATATGTATTTATCAATCTCACATGTACTTTTTTCTCATTACGTTAAAGACAACAGCGTATAGCACTGCACACTTTTTGTTGAAAAATGGCGAAATTTGCCGTAGAGAACGCGCTTTCTTATGGACATTCCATTTGGGAACTATTAGCGCCCTCTTGGCGGTTTTTTTGATAACTAGTAGTGTTAGACGCTGTTGGTTAAAGACTTTCGATTATTTACACTGATTGGCTTTATTATTAATTTCAACGTAGCAACGCTATTTTCCAACTGTGTTGCGTCACTTGCTTCAACTGTCGGACTATGTAATCCATGTTATTAGTTGACTCGATGTTTAGATCGATTCACTTTTGCTGTAACCGGGATAATTTACAATAAAATCGATAAAGCCACGTATGATGCGTGAACGCATGACCACATAAATCACGTATATACTTTAACTACCGGCTATTTTCTTCAACGTCCCTGACCCAAATTTCAAACATATTTAAACCATCATCAATAATTTTCTTTAAAACTTCACCATCGTCAATACATTTTCAAAACGAACAATTACCAATGAATATTCAAAACGAAACTTTCATTTACTTTGAATGCTAACGAATTATTGTCACATTAACACGATTCGCATTTCCGATGTCCAAACTAATCGAGATTGAACAAAACACTATGATATGTGTGAAAAAATGTGCGCTTTCAAGTACAGATGTAACTCGAAAGCAATAAAATATACCTTTGTTTGATTCGTTGGATTAATTACGTGACGTATAATTATACGTCGTTTTTGTCTCGATACGTGGCTTCATTTCTTATCACGTGTAATTGAAGAAAATATCGATATCAATTGCTGTAGAGTGAAGATTGTCTCTAGATAACAATAATTGTTTGCAATCAAATTAAACAATAAAACGAACTTTATCTGTGAAATGCTCTTCAAAAGATGATATGGGCTACTGTACACGACACTCATTGGGTATTAGCCAGAGGAAATATTCTACGCAGTCAGCATAACATTAAAATTGATGAAATACACGCGCCAATTTAATGGCAGATCGTTGACTGTTTTCATTTTGTTGAAAAAATAATTAATTAATCGGCTTTCAATTGACGGCCTGAGAAGAAAAACCTTTCCTACAAAACCTGTGCGCAGAACACAAACACAGAAATTTTTTAGTCAAAAGGCGAACAGAAAATTTGCGAGCGCAAAAACCTAATATATTTACAGCGAGCGCAAAAGTATAACAGGCCTACTTATACGGATTTTGCATGCTAGTTGGCTTGTTATACTTTTGCGCTCGCTGTAAATATATTAGGTTTTTGCGCTCGCAAATTTTCTGTTCGCCTTTTGACTAAAAAATTTCTGTGTTTGTGTTCTGCGCACAGGTTTTGTAGAAAATGTTCTTCTTCTCAGGCCGTCAATTGGCTTTTATTTTTATTATTTTTGCAACGCGGAAGAAAACTGCAGTCGAATTCACACGGAGAAAAAGAATGACTACCAGCTTTGCCCTATTTGAACTTTTCATGATATTTGTACGTGAAATTTATAAGTTCATCTATTGAAAAACCCAAAATCAATGAAAGTTCAAAGTTTTTCATAGATTATCTATGGTATTTACATGTGACACATACAGCGCCATCTATTGAAAAAAGTAACAATCGTGTCAAGTTGAAATAAGGCAAAATAACCCAGAAAATGGTTGTCATTCTTTAGTATTTGCCGATAAAATGAAATGAATCATTGAATTTTTAATTAGCTATGCCATTTAACCTGTATTTCACAAAGGCAAATAAAATTGGCGATTTATGTGATTTCATCGCCATAAGCTTATTGAATTTTATTGTTGAAAGACCGACTGGAAAAAGTCATTGGTTCCGATTTTAATGGAAAAGGTGTGACTGAATTGATTGCATGCAAAAACATCCGAACCAACAGAAACCTCAATAATGCAGGAAATCGACAGAATAAATATTATTTTTGCTATTGTTTCGTGAATGAATGAAACTGACGTATAGCTCATGAAGCAGAATTTTTATTACCACTTAATGCAAACCGATTAAAAATAATTGACAACAATTTTGTGAATCAATTCATCTTTTTCTGTTGTAAATTTACTATTCACTCAGTCTAAAATAATTCTACCCAATGAATGATATGTATGCCGGGAATCTAAAATTTTATGTTCAATTTTCAAATATTTTCATTCATCCTGACCGAATTTCTTGTATCGAATTCGCTTTGAAAATCGTTCATTTGGACAGATATTGCGATCGAAAATTCCGATACAGAGAAAAGTTTTGATTGAACGAAAAGCCAGTGTAAATTATAGATTTCTATTGATTAATTGGCCGTGGTTTGAAATTGTCATGGTTCAAGAGCAATTTGAACGGTGTGTTACGTACTCTTCATTCAACCATAGCCGCCAACTTTAATTCATAATAGATTTCACATCAGGAATTTTTCATGATATCTATTTAACACAATTTGAACGAAGTGTGTGAACCAAACCACAGAGTATTGGACTTGATCTTGGCACTAGTTTTGGTTTAACAATGGCTAAGCTATCGTTTACTTGGATATCAGACACAAGTTACTGAATATCGTATGAGTGAACGGTGAGATATCCTTCAAACAGAATCTTAGCCTTAAGCGTAGTCCAATGAAAGTTTACTACGATTGAAAGGAATAATTGGACACTTGTTTGGTCGAAAGTTGGTGACTGGAAATTTGAATCGATTGTGCGATATTTGTATTCATGTTTCATCTTGAGATTATCCCACGTTCCATTTGGAAAATGTGACTGGGCCAGCATTGGAAAATCGAATGATGCGAGGAAAAACATGAGAATTTGATTGAATCAAAAGGTTCGATGTAAAAACCACATGGAAGCAAGACAAACACTGTCGTCTTTTGAAAGCCGTCATCTGTTCTGATAACACGATTCAATGACATAAATTCGAAACGAATATTAGGATGGGAATTAAAATATGTAGAATGTCAGAGACTGAGTCGTGTAAATTTAATTGATTTTTTGGGAGTCCTGTTCAGTTTATCGATGATTTTTCTTCGAAAATTATTACGTATCCATTGATACACCCTAAATGGTTTCAATTCCATTTATCTACAATTTAACCATTATATTCTTGTTACAGCACAAAATTGAAAAATGTCGCAAAATAACCGATTTTTCATCGATCGCCCTAGTTTTTGACATTTACCTTGAGAAAAACAAACTAAATAAACCCAAAATCGTTTGATTCAGATGAAAATAATCCTGGTTTGGTTTGTTCACAATTTTAATTGAATCGAAATGTCTCTTCACATAAACAAAATCCACCGATAAACGATAAAAAAGCAGCGCTGAAACAAAGAGCAAAAATAACTTGAAGAGCAATTGAATTGTTCACGGCAAAACAAATCGCACTGATTTCTTAAACTTGAACTAGAGCACTGACGACGGTCAAAAATATATAAATGCTTATTGTTTGTCAGACAGCCAGTATATGATTGACATGTATCGCGCATGCTCGTTATTTAGCCGAACGTTTATTCACACAAAAAAAAATACGATAAAACAACGAGATGCTCCGATTGCACTTGGATATCGGTGTATAAATCAACATTTTTATACAAAAGTCAATAGATATGGTGACAGATGTTTGGGTCTCGTTTCATTAGAAAAAAAATAACAAAAACATTCATAGTTCTTTCGTTTGAATCGATGGATGAAAAATCCTTGTACATTTCGTTGTACAAAATAGGAGGGTGGCCACCTTATACACCTTATTATTTTCAATTATTATTTCCACAACAAAATTGTAGGCGGAAAACTTTCTTGCTACAGACGATGAAAAGTGGATAATATGTTTCACCTTAATCAGCTTTTCAATATCGCCAATTAAATTGAACTGTTGGATAGAACGTTTTTCCACGAGTTTTCGAATAAGTTTTCAATCAATCGATAAGAAATGAATATTAATTGCTGAAAATTGGTTTAATTTACAAAAACAATGTGTATTAAAAAAATGTCCACAATTATAAGCGATAACAATATCGATTCAGTTATAAAGTTTGTATAATTTATTATCACGTTTGTTTTATTTAATGAACAAATCACAATTCATTGGAAAAGAATTTACCGCAAATGACCCAACATTCCTTTTCATATCATTCAGCTTGTACCATATTCAGTTGAACATCAATTTTCTCGTATCGATTAGTATATTTCATCTTCTTCAATGACACGTTTTTGATTTATATCGATGGGAAATAGTCGATCCCATATGGCATAGCGATCAGTGTACAATTGATCTCACATTGTTGGATAATCATCGATTTCCAAGTAATTGAATTGTTACACGTGCATCGGGTTCCGAATGATATTCTGCAGATATCAGTCTATGTTTGAATTGGGATTTCTGCAATGAAATGTGAGCAATTCAAAAATGATTTCGAAGAATGAACATATAAACTGAGTTCACTACGAACAACATCTCTTTCACTATAACAGTAATTTGCACACGAAAGAGTCAGCGTGATAGTTAGTGTGTTTGTGTGTGTGTGTGTGTGTGTGAGAGGAAGAGACAAAGTTTGATAGCAGAATGTCTAGCAGAGTCAGTTTAGATATGCTTCGCTAATTTAATCTATTTTTATACATTTTCAATAAGTAAATAATTAAAATGTCTCATCCCTACCCATCCCTGGCGAATTCCGCAATGAACCGTGTTAAACGTTGCAACATTATGTTCTCAGAGTCATTTTAATTGAAAACTGGTGCTTTTTTCCGGTTCACACATGAATACAACAAGTCATCATGATGAACGGCACCTGTTTGACAACTCAGTTCTACGAGATAACTCGAACAAATTACGAATTATTCTTACCGAAAGGTCCATCACTCGGATAGTATGTGTGGCTAAAGCGTTGAGCATAGTTGAATACATAAAAATAAACTATCGTGAAGGCGCCGGCAAGTTGAACAAAACGATGCATCCCGAACCCGATGACGTCATCGGCGAACAACTAAAAATAGAACAATTTGATGTAATAAGTGTCAGTCAAAAAAGAAAAGAAAAACAAAATCCACAGTGGAACAAAGCCAATGAAAGTGACTAATAGTTTTTACATGATTCAAATTTAGCAACGATCTGTGGTCTTCGATTTGTTACTTCAAGAAATTCAACCGCAGTTGGGCTGGGATTATTTTCGATTTTGGTGTGTCTCCTTCGTATAGAAAGCAAATCGGTGCCCATTTCACGAAATTCGTATCCATTTCCGTTTGAAGAGTTTCGTTGCGAATGAGAGATGCGGTTTTTTGTTCAAAAGAAGTTTGAAAATATATTTCTTTTATGTTAATTTTTAAATCCATTTCAGAAAAAATGAAGATTATCTACATAATTGAAGGAAATGATCACGTACAAATCGCTGGATGCAAAAGTTTATATTTTGTGATGCCGGCTAAAATCGGAACACGAGCAAAATCGCATCTTTTGAAGAGTGTTGTTGGATCTTCGGTTAAGAATCGTTCTTGCCCAAAGTCAGGTTCAACCGCTGATTGCCTTGCCCAAATTCAAACATGTCACCTAAACTATTTCCGATATCAGCCACATTTTTCTATATATTCGTTAATAAATAAAACATTGTTTTGAGCCACGTGATAACCCAAAAATAACAAATAAATTGAAATTCTTTATTGTTTGTTATGTTATTTATAGAATTAATATTGGTTAAGGGTTTATCCCATGGAATTTTTACTGAATATTTTCATTTCAGTCGATGAAATTCGATAATCACCTGTTTTAAGCATTTTAACATGTGCAAAATATGGGTGATCTGGGCAGTTAAGAATGCGAGCTTGCCTTTTCGCCATTTCTGTTTTGATTTTTGGAACATTCCATTGAGCGGTCGCAGCTCCACTCATCACAATTGCCTTGTGGAAAAGACCTGTTCAAATCGTATTTTTATAAAAATTGATTAAGGCTTCAAAATTTCCAATTTTAGAACACAGATTCAAATTTAACAAGAAACTACGGCTGTTGATATATGTAAAATTAGCTTTTTTTCATTTATTAACTCAATAAATCATTCTCAAATTCACATCCTGACATTGGCGAAACCAAGTGTAGAATGACACTAATGGCACCAGCGCTATATCCCATGATTGTTATGGAATAGGGATCACCTCCAAATGATTTTATGTGTTCCTTCACCCATCGTAGCGCAACAACTTGATATTTCAATCCATTATTTTCTGGAGCTTCCTTGGTTCCTGTGCTCAAAAATCCAAGAGCTGCCAGATGATTGGTAATTGTAACTAAAACTATATCATGTTGAATTAGATATTCTGGATTAAATTCGTCACTCCTTCCAGACGATTTATAGATCTTCCCGAATGGATGAAAACAATCACAGGCTTATTCGAAACACTCGAAATGTTTTTCGTATACACAAAAGTTAATAAACTTTAAAGTTTTTCAAACGTCAAACGCAAGCAGACAACAGAGGAAAACCTATGCACGTGTTAACGACATTTGAATCCCAAGATTATTAAACGTCTGTCACCCAAACACGACAACACATGGAATCATATATTCCGTATGCGACTCCATTTATCTCGTTTCAGATAATGTTTCAGAATTTAAAATTCCTTTAATTTCTTTTTTTACAGAATTCATCTTATAGTGCTATGATATATTCTTATATATGGTTTGAAGGTTTTGGGCTTGTACGGATGAGACAAATAACTTGCTTCGATTTTGGACTCATCGATTGATTTGAAGCAATGAAAATTTTGTGTTCCTGCAATTTTATTTGGTTCGATATTGTATCGATGTTCCATAGTTTTGGATGAAATTCAAAGACAAAACATCATTTTGGAGTCGAACTCTTGAACAGATAATTCATCATGTGATCTTTTATCTTGACCAAAAAGACGTTTATTTTGATGCTAATTTTGAAATACGACTGTTTTTATTATTTTCATTGACTTTCTATAAATAATTATGCAATAAATAAGTTGAATCGTTCAATGGTTTGAAAAGGATATAGTAGACTTGTGTAGGCCAGAAGAATCATAGTTAAAAGCTCCCGTCAAATTATTTAGCATTTGCATGAGTTGCTTGAGCGCTTGCAACGCTTCTTGCATGATGACGACGACGATGATGAACGGCATGGTCGTTTGCAGCTTTTGTTACTTGATGAACGGCTTGAACGTTTGGATCTTTTCGATGACGACGATGAACCACAGCTTGACGATGATCCGCAGCTTGAACCGCACGATTGTGGAATGTTGACACAAAGGTAGCCTGTGCCTGAGCTTGATGAACCGGATGATCCACATCCAGTGTTGCTGCTAGAGCCACTTGAACAGCCGGATGATCCAGATGGGCTTGATGATCCACATCCAGTGTTGCTGCTAGAGCCACTTGAACAGCCGGACGATCCAGATGGGCTTGATGATCCACATCCAGTGTTGCTGCTAGAGCCACTTGAACAGCCGGACGATCCGCTTGAGCATTTTTTTGCTTCTGGTTCTGGTTTTGGTTCGGCGAAGACGGTTGTCAGAGCCTATAACCAAAAATAGAATCGGAAATCGATTGAATGCTTTTGGAAATTCAATCATATTTTTTAAACTTACAGTCAAACCAAAGAGGGCGATGAGAGCGAAAGTGAATTTCATATTGATTGATTAATTGATTCAATTGGCTTACAAGGCAAATTGTAACTGATGCTGTTCGTTCATTTTCCTCTGCTATTTATTTGGAAAAAAATCTGTCTCGATCTTCGAGAATTGTAAGTGAGACAAAATGGAATTTTCGCACAATGGAAGAAATTGAGGACAACTATCGTTTCGATTGTTTTCGCATAATAAAAGGTTTGGAACAAAGGACCTACAATTACACATTTTTCAATTATATAATGAATGAATTAATTGCAATTGAATATTGAGTAGTGAGATCATCTATTGTTATGCATGAGACACTTTCTCCATTTATCTGTTGGCCTTATTGAAATCACCTTTATTCAATTATTATTATAGTGAGAATGGTGTTGGTATAACTCTTATCAATGCGATTTTTTGAATGGTTAGTGAAATTTGCCCTATATATACATGGCGATTCAAAATGAAGATAATGTAATTGAACATGACAAAATCACGGCTCTTTGTGAATAAAATTCAATATCTTTATTGTCATAATCTAGTCATAAAAGCAACTATAAGTATTACTTATTCAATACATTGGAAAGAGAAAACTTTTGAAAGAAAGTTCAAAAAAAATATTCACCAATTTTTATGATGGCAAGGACTACTAAGGAATAATAATAAGTAATGACAGCAAAAAAATATCCGCAAATGAATACAGATGTGTGCAAATATGTCAATAATTGCTACCCCTTAGGCGTATTAAATCCAATCTACTTTATCTTATCAGCTCATGTATGACAACACCAAAAGAATAGCAACGCATGTATGAATGTAAATGTGATCGGCTGGTCGCGTTGCAATGCAGTATATGTATATGGAATAGCACAATCAGCGAAATGCACGAAATATGCTAGGGGTTAACCACGGATTTTTTTATTGACAAAATCTGTTTTTATCGCCCAATTTTAATGACATCCGTAAAAAATTGAAAAAATCTGTATATATTGAATTTTATCGTTTAATATCGACAATAAACGTTTAATGCGCTGACGTCATTACCGATTCAAAAATGCTGGAAGTGGGTTTTGGTGGATCCTCAGGATCGTTTAGTACTGCTCCCGGTTCTGGAAGTGGATCCTCAGGATGGGCCAGGGCATTGTCAAACCCAGTCTGGTCCATCTTGAAGATCCACCAAAACCCACTTCCAGAATCGGGAGCAGTTCTGAACGATCCTGAGGATGCACCAAAACCCGTTTCTAGAACAGAAGGCATTCGTTAAAGCGAAAAAATTACTACAAAAATCGGGCAAAATCGACCAAAATGTGATCATATCGGAATTTATTTCTTTAAATGATAAAAAAATGTTAAAGTCGGTCATTATTGGTTATTTTTAAAACCGTGGTTAGCCCCTAGGGAATATGTGTTTGAAAATTGCAAATGATATTGTTACGAATTTAGCATCAAAGGTCAGTTCAGTTTGAGATAGCTTTTTCACAAATTCTGTTGTTCATTCAATATTCTAGAAATCCAATGCAGTGTAGTCGTATAGTAGATTGACATGTACAGTACAGTCGAAATGCACTATAGTAAGCCCTCCGCTGTATTCAGCCCTCTGCTGGATTCAGCGACAACTAATTAGTGACTCGCTTATGTATTGGTTAGTATAGGTATACGCGCAAAATGACTTGCTTAGGTATGGGTAAGAGCGGCTGACTGAGAACTGTCACATATATACGCATTCTCTTTCTTCTCTCACGAATCTTCATACTGTACACAACGAACGTAAGCGAATAAAAAGTAAATCAAATATAATCAAAACCATCTGCCGTCATCCTGAAGTCTACATCAGTAAAAATCGTGCGAATTATTTTTGAAAAATCGCCATAGAAATATTTTCAACATGGAATCACCAGAACCACCATCACCGAAGCGTAAAAGGGTGGACAGTGAAAGTGAAATGGTTTCAGTTAGTGGCGAAAATGTTCAGAAAAGCAATTTTGTGTTGAGCGTGATAGAAAAACAATATCTGAACAAGGAAACGGCTGATATGTATTTTGAGTGTGGATCATCTAACGAGCATGTTCCCGCTCATAGAAGTATTTTGTCTGGAGCAAGTCCTGTTTTCTATGCAAAATTTTATGGACCTAATTCGGAAAAAGCGAAAAAAGAAAGAAAAAAATTGGAAGAAAATAACGCAGAGAAGACAAGTGCTGAAGAAGAAAATGGAAATGTGACTAAAAATTCTGGGGAAAACGTTGAAGATAAAAGAGGGGAGGAAAATGTGATAAAATTGCGCGAATCGGCCGATACTGTTAGAGATGTATTACAATTCATTTACAAGGACAAAGTAAATCTGAAAATAGAAAACATAACTGAAGTGATGGATCTATTGAATCAGTTTCAAATGTTTACATGTTTGGAACAATGCGGAAATTGTTGGGCAGAAAACTTGACTATTGAAGATGTGTGCTGGGCCTTACATTGGGCGATTCACTATGATGTGAAAGGATTGATAACATTTTGTAAACGGAGAATTAGCGTTTGTCCTGAGATGGTCTTTCGAACGAGTGGATTTTTGGACTGTCAATATAAAGTTTTAAAATTTATCACGTCATGGGATTCACTTGCATGCTTTGAAATATCCGTACTTGAAGCTTGCTTAGATTGGGCCAAAAGTGCTTGCGAACGTGACAAATTGGATGCTTCTCAAACGAAAAATCTACGAATTTACCTACAGGATTTACTTTATAACATTCGTTTTGGTTCAATTGATAGCAAAGATTTCATTAAATTCATCAACAAATACTCTGAAATGTTCACAGATCCAAATGACTATGAAGACATCTTCCGTTTAATATGTGGTGAAACCGAACTCAAGACCAATCGCTTCAATACGAAACCAAGATTAACAACAATTTACTCGTTTGGTTTGAGAAAATGTATGAAATGTAATTTGAGGGATAGTTCGCAGCCGAGCAGACTTCTATCCACATCGGGAAGTTCATTAGTTTTTAGATGCAATCAACCTTTGCTTTTATGGGGCTTTATTTGTACTAGAATAAAAAATTCATATAGCAATGCATCAGTTGATGTTGATGTTAAAATTACGAAAAATTACAAACATTTCTCCGAAATTGTATTTTCTGGAAGCGAAATAGTGAATTCAACGTCAGACAAATTTGTTGATATTCGTGAACGCCCGATAATAATGAATCCAGAATATAGCTACCAAATTGATTTGAAAATGAATAGAAATGTCTCTATCAACACATTTCAATTACATTCAGAAATAAAATTTGATGAAAATACGACTTTATACATCAATCCAGACGAAGAGTACGATGTATTTTCAATAATTGAAAAACTTCATTTTAATATGTGGGAAAGAGATGGTTTTGGCAGAACAAATTTTTACTTAAGAAATTTCGAAGAAAATCAAGACACCGAAAAAGCGCCATTCAATTAATATTTCTTAATAAACATGATAAATATTCACGAATGAAAATTGATTTCTTTTAATTTATATGGTTTTGTAGTCTACACTCCGACACGGATAAGATATTGTTTTATCGCTGTGCTTTGAGGTTTCAACGTCAAAACAAATTTCTAAAAATAGATTGCAAAATATTTTGCTCAATATCGCACATTTACTTGTCATTTGTTGTCTATAGTTGAGCATTCGATCGTTTCTACTGTTTTGTGTTTTTTCCAATTTGTTTTTAAATTCTTTGCAACCGTTAACATCGGATTCTCCGTATCCAAGCCAAAGTTTTTGAATACAACGCATAAGTTGGCATTTTGTCCTTAAATAAGACATTTGAAATGGAAAACCGAAAATTTCATGCAAAATTTTTGTTTATTAAGTTGGAATAAATGAGCACACAAATAAGAGCAAATAAGTTTTTGGATCAGATTCTTTGAATTATCATTTTTAGGCGAATTAACAACAACCGTTGTTGCAACCGTTAGCACACCATTGGTTATAACCATTATTATTATTGTTATTATTATTATTGTTGTTGTTGTTGTTATTATTGTTGGTAGTAGAAGAAGTGCAAGATTTGCAATTACAAGATGACCGTCTGACAAGATTCCGACATTGGCTGCAGCCACAGCTTGCGCGTCTATAGCATGAGTGTCTATAGCATGAGTGTCTATAGCATGAGTGT